GAATTTTGCATGATCCTGTCCCTAAGCCCCCGTGTTTTAAGCGACGAACGGTATTATCGAGATTACGAGATTTACGGGATATCGAGATTACGGGATATCGAGTTCTGAAAAATCCGGAAAAAAATTCTGAAAAAAATCCCGTTACGGGATCCCGCAAATGCGATTTTTCTTCACTCTAATAATAAATATTATTTAAAGTTAATTAACGAATTTGTTGAAAAGACTACACACAATAAAATTAATAATGTGGTCAGTTCAGATTCTCTAAATTGTGATACTCGGTAACATTTTTCCATCATAATATGATAAAAGTTTTTTAAAAATTAATTAGTCTTTTACTGATCAATGCTATCTACTTCAAAGGAAAATGGCAAACTACCTTTGATCCAGAATCAACTGAGAAAAAAGATTTTTATATCGATGGAGGAAAAAATAAAAGAGTTAATTTGAAATACCTAGTCTCAAAAAGCTCTAGTTTGATAATGACCTGGGCTGTTTCATTTACGATTCTCGAGGGGGTTTTTTTCTTTCAGTTTTCGAATTTTTCAAAAACTATTTCAAATCTGACGATTTTTCCAATACGAGGGCGAAATTCAATTTTATACATTTATCTTAAAGGTTGATATGATGACAATAACAGACTATTTTCTTTATTTTGAAGATACGGAGGTAAAAAGTTAAATAAAAATATGTTTTTATAAAATGATTTTTGGCCATTATATTTAAAGTTTTGGGCAAAAATTTCAGATATAACCTTTAAAGCTTATACCCAAGTTTTCTGAAAGTTCAAAGTATTGAAAAATTATATAAATAAAACCCCATAGAGGATATAACGTATTTATTCTAAATAAATGGTCCCTTCCAGTTGATTGCCCCTGGTTTGTGTGGTATTGAATTGCCCTTGGGGTATTGAAGGGATTGAAAATTTGGGTAGCCATTGGGTACCCCAAAATAGCTTTTGGGGGATTGAAAAAGGTTTAATATATTTAATTTTCTAGCTACAAATGCTAAAAATGAATTATTCTTGTAAAGAAGATATTTATATGATTATACTCTTGCCTAAAGAACGTTTAGGTTTGGAGAAAATGATTAAAAATTTGAATGGAGAAAAGATTTTAAAATTGCTTAAATGTGGATATACAGCTAAAGTGGATGTAGGGGTTTTCTAATAATATAAAACAAGACTTGGTAATGGACATGAATTTGGTATCCGTATCCTATATTTACAGCGGGTACAGACGGATATCCGCGGGCGGTTTGAACTTATCTGTACCATATCCTTATCCACAACCAAGCCTGTATAAAACTATACAGGCTTGGTTGTGGATAAGGATATGGTACAGCACAGAGGTGATCGAACTCTGCCGTATTTTACTCTAATGAGGGGTTCAAATAAGGGGTTTTCGGCTTATTAGGACTATTTTCGGATCTGAATTAATACAGAAAAAGGGATTACTTTTCCTTAGAAATACATATTAGCATAAATCTATGTCATTTTTACTTAAAGGTTTTTATTCCCAAATTCGAACTTGAATCTACCCACAATTTAAAAAATGTGCTGATCAAGTTAGGTCTTACTTCAGCTTTTGAAAATGCAAATTTCTCCAAAATTACAACAGACGAGCCCTTAAAAATTGACAATGTTGTCCAAAAAGCTTTTATTGAGGTGGAGAAATTTTTTGAAAATTTCTTGGGGAAAAAATTTTCTTTTGAAAAAGGTAAACGAAGAAGGCACAGAAGCTGCTGCAGCCACAAGATATTATGCATATACGCCAACTTCTCATCCTGTGGAGGAGGAGACATTTTTAGCTGATCATCCATTTACGTTTATGCTTATGAAGAAAAATGAAATTCTTTTTTGTGGAATATTTCAAGGATAGAATGCTAAATAAAAGATACAAGACACTGTTTTCTGATTTAAATTGTTATCATATGTACTCATTCAAATAAAATTCAAAACTTTCATATTCTACTTAATATTAGAGTTGGCCGGTATCGGGATCCCGACCTAAAATCTGTATCGGTATTTAGGAATGATGATACCGATCCCGATACCGATACCGACCTCGGTATCGGTATTGACCGAAACCGGTATCGGGATTTGGGTTAGTGATACCGGTACCGATACCGATTCGGGATCGGTATTAAAAATCGGTATCGGTATTTACTAAAAAATTTTAATATGAAAAAAATAAATGAATTCATTCTTCATTTTAAAAAAGGTTTTAACAGTAGTAAAATGATAAATTAGCACTATAAAGCTATTCTCGAGACAAAAACATCCCAGGAACCAAAAGAAGACCTTCCAGATCCACAGATATCCATTTAATCCTCCGATATCATCTTCATCCACGGTTATACTCCAAATTCAACTTCATACCTCAAATCGACTTTGGGGATTAGGAGGGATATAGATAGACTTTTTGAAAGTACTAGGGATACCTCCGATAATCGAATGATATCCCTCAATATGGGGACCAGACTTGCATAAAACTTTATTTTCATTAGGCTTCGTTCGTTAACAAAACACCTGTGTTTCATTAATAAACATTACTTAATTTTTAAGACAAAATTTTATTTACCGAAGGAGCCAAAATCGAAAATCCCAAAATTTTAAGGTCAAAAAGCCTAGTTTTTTCCCATTTCAGCGCCGCAGGCGGAATTTTAAAAATTTTTGTAAAGTCAATATATTTAAAAATTTTTGTAAAGTCAACTAATCCCGATACCGATACCGGCCTCGGTATCGGTATCAGCAAAAACGGTATCGGGATTTATCATTCGGTGTCGGTATCAAAAAAATCGGTATCGGGATTCAAAAAAACCGGTATAATACCGCCCGATACCGGTCGGGATCCCGATACCGGCCAACTCTACTTAATATCAATTAAAAAATAATTACCGTATTTTTCCAGATATTGCCCCACTCCCAATTACTCCACTCCCCAATACAGCCCCACTTTTGAGGGTAGTTGAAAAATAGAGCCCACTCTTTATTAAAGCCCCATTCCCTAATAAAGCCCCAGTCTGGAGGACTGTTGAAAAATACAGCCACATGGGGTTGTGTTTGGAAATTACAGTATATGCATTAATTTGACTATCAGTATCATCTACCTCTCTTTGTGATACAAGGGATTGATATGGAATTTAGGATTGATATTGAACTCAGTTAGGTTGTCCATCTCTTACTATATCTACTCTCATTCACCATCAAATATCAACTTTTCCATCCAGTCATTTGGCACCATCAAATACCCTTCATCACCTTCCATGTCATCTCCATTCTTGCAAATACATACTTTTATTTTTCATATTAGCGCCTCTTCCCTTTAGCTCTTGTCAATTCCGTTCATTTCATTAAGAAGCCTTTTTCTTCTTTTTTTTCTAAAAGATGCCCTTCAACATTCTTCTTTTTTAATATAAGATGTGCCGCCTTTTTTAGAGGTTTGTTGTTGACTTTTGCGGCAATGTGAAAAGCAGGCTGGCACTCATTATGTTTGTGTGTTTGCATGCGCGCGTGTGTGCCTTCTTACCCTAAAAACACATAACCACCATTTTCCTAACAGCCTCATTCTCCTTAAGAAACGAGTTTTCTCCCCATTTCCTTCAAAGGGTGAGAGACTTCTTGGGCCTGTTTATTTTTCTTTTAATTTTAAATTTTTTTGAGTTGCTTCTCCATTGTTTTTATTCCGTTATTTTATATATTTGTCCTTTTAATTTGCCCCTTTCCATGCAGTCATTTTGGCACACAAATTAAAAGAATGTCAAAAAACATGTAAACAGTGATGGGCTCTCCTCCGCCTCGATTTACTTCCGCGAAATTACACATTTCCACTTATCAGCTTCGAGCCTCCGCTTTTCAGCTTCGAGCCTGCCGCTTTCTGCCTTCCGCATCTTTAAACGGTCATACGACACTTGCAGATATGACATTTGCAGACCCGACATTTGCAGACGACTTTTGCAGATCGACATTTGCAGATACCGACACTTGCAGATATGACACTTGCAGATCAGACATTTGCAGATCCGACTTTTGCAGATATTAAATTTTGAAAAAAAAATTTTAAAAAATTTAAAAATCTTAAAAAATCAAAGGATATAGTATAGTATACCGGTGGAAAGGTTTTGATATAAGACCCATACCAAAACGTTTCGACGAGCTGAGTCGAACGGCACCACTCTTTTTTCCGGAGATTCTTTTTTTCCGGAGGTTCAAAATGTTCAACGTAGACCTATGGAGCGTTGGCAAGGCGCTTGTGCAAAACCCCGCGCTTCGCGCGGGGTTTTGCGGCACGCGCCTCGCGGGGAGTCAACGGTCGCTGGGCTCTGGGCTCGTAACATGCTCCTATTCCTATCATCGATGAGATGGGCATCCCAGGATTCCTCCGCAGCAGCAAACACTCCACGGTGTATAGGTAAGGTAAAAAAGAGAGCGAACTGGGTCTAATCTGCAAAAGTCGGGTCTGCAAGTGTCGGGTCTGCAAGTGTCATATCTGCAAGTGTCGGTATCTGCAAATGTCGGGTCTGCAAAAGTCGGGTCTGCAAGTGTCGGGTCTGCAAATGTCATATCTGCAAGTGTCGTGACACGCTTTAAACAATGACTGTACCGCCAACATATGAGGATTGGCGCCAATCCTCGACCTAAAAATTTATAAATGAATAAAATATAAGCAAGTCCTATTACACCCATTTGTTTTTATTTCTAGATAAAAATGAAATTTACTTTTTATATATTATGCACAAAAGAGAAGGATGATAAGCCTAGAAAATCATTTTATAAACGCTATTAAGAACAAGGTTCATTTTGGTCCGACATCGATTACAATTAGTATGCATTTTTGTATCATTGATAAATGTGATAATCTACCCTAATAGAGGAACACTTCAATTAGTCTGATCCTTTGGGAATCTTTCTCTTAACATTACTTTTAATAAGAGTTCGCTTAGAGTGAAAATGACTACTAGATGAACAAATTCATCCCTAGTTTTTCTTCCCTTCTTAGCTTTATCGAACTTTTATTTCACCCATTATAATGTCGAGAAGCCCAACAGGCGCAACTAGCGCCTCTTCGAACGAAAACACGGCAGCAATCCTCACATTCCATTTTCCTTCCTTATATGCCACATTCACATCATCGAAAGGACTTCTTCTCCCCCTTCCTTTACTCATTAGGCATTCGTTTCCTCTCATTTACCCCCCTAAAAACAGCTTTAAAAACTTCTCTGTCACATCCATTCTCGCTTCAACGAATCGCAAAAACCTTAATATAAAAGCTAAAAAATAAAATAAAAAAATATATATTAAGTAAAAAAAAGATTTTTAATATTAAAGCTAGACAAATATAAAAAATATTTTTGTGGGAAAATAATATGACTAAAAATGTTTTTAGTATAATAAAGCTTTTACTCGCAAATGTAGCAAAATATATTAAAAAGCCTTATAAATTCAAATGAAGCCATAAAGTAGCCCTTCCGGAAAAATTTATAATTAATTTACAAATATTCCGGAAATACAAACACAGTAGTTTTCCGGAAATCCCTGAAAATACAGATTATGTAAAATACCTATAAAATTTCTGGAGAAAAACAAAAACAAAGACAAATACATAATAATTTCCGTAACACGGATGTCACGGGTCGAAGTTGCGAGTTTGCAGGTTTGTAATTTTGCCCATTTTCTTATATCCGAAATTATTTGAAAAAATGTATACGGAGTAATTTTCGTCAAATTTTTATAAATTTTTTTGCGTACTTTTTGAACAGAAGTTAAAATTTTTTGACCAATTCTTGGCAGTTTGTCTGCCAAGCATAAGGCTATACAAATTGAAAATTATTTGAAAATTGGACCAAAAATAAAGGCTCAGGGTTCTTTTTAACCTACTTCATATACATTTTTTCAAATTAATTCCATATATAAGAAAATAAGAAAAATCTCAACCCGCAAACCCGCAATCGTCGACCCGTGACATCCCTGTTCCGTAATGATAAATACAAAACACTAAACAGAAAATACAACATCCGGCGGAAATTAAATAAAACCTTCCGGAAACACTTTAAATTTAATTTAATTTTGAATGTATTTTTTTATATTTTACAAAATACATTTTTAATTTTTTTATTATTAAATAATCGTAAAAATAATTGAAGGAATTATTTTTGCAATAATTCCTTCAAAATACCTTGTCACATTTCTGATCACCCCAAAAAATATTTTCTCTTATATTTTTTATAGGGAAATAAAAGGAAAAGCTTTTTGTACTTAAAACCAACCGAAAAAAGTAAGTAATACTAGAAGCAGCTGTTTTAAATGGCAAATCGATTTTTGGCTTTCCTTTTTAAAAAATATTTTTAGTATTTAAAAATCCATTTAGGTGACTAAAAAAAGAATTTTTTAAATGGTTTTGTTGCCTAATAAAACACAAAAGATGTTAAAATAGAAAACTTCCGGGATGGTGTATTTTCTTAAATGTATTTTATTTATTTTATTTTTTCCGGAAAAGATTCTATTTCTCTTTGCAAAATGTCTTTTTTCCGGAAATTATTTTATTGTCTTTGTATTTTCCGGAATGTTTAATATTTTATTTATTCACTTGTCTATTTCCGGAAACTTTACTGAAGTTTGTATTTTTCCGTAATTTATTTTATTTTTTTCCGGAAGCTTGTATTTTTCTTTCAGGATTTTTCTTAAATGTGTTTTATTTATTTTATGTTTTCCGGAAAAGATTTTATTTTTCATCCCAGTTTGCCTTTTTCCGGAAATTATATTATTATATATCCTGTGTTTTTCCGGAATGTTATTTATTCATTACTTTTCCGGAAACTTTAATTTATTCTTTACCAAAGTTCGTATTTTTCCGTATTTTATTTTTCCGGAATCTTGTATTTTCCTTCAGGAATTTTATTATTTTTTTATTGTGTTTTATTTATTTTATTTTTTCCGGAAAAGATTTTATTTCTTATTCCAGTATGTCTATGTATTTTTCCGGAAATTATATTATTGTCTTTGCGTTTTTCCGGAATGTTTTGTATTTTATTTATTCACTAGTCTATTTCCGGAAACTTGTATTTTCTTTTTAATGAAGTTCGTATTTTTTCCGTAAATTATTGTATTTTTTCCGGAAACTTGTATTTTCCTTCAAGAATTTCTTTTATTTTTTGAGTGTGTATTATTTATTTCAGGGCTCGGATCGACAAAATGCCAATAAAAAGTACAAAAATCTTGATTTTAAAGTACATAGGGGCAAAATTTCCACATTTAAAGTACACTCAAAATTAAATTAGAAAATATATATTCGTGCTCAAATCTTTTATATTTCTCTCTTAAATTAATCTTTTCTAATAATTTCTTGTTTCAACTTAGCATTTTGCGAATTTCAATGCACTTTTTTGTGGAGCCGAAGGCGCCAAAAAATCTATTTTTTTGCGCCGCGTGCGAAAATTTTGAGAAATTTGGAGGTCCTCAAGCCAGATTTCTTCCATTTTTTGCGCCGCAGGCGAAAATTTTGAGAATTTTGGAGGTCCTTAAGCCAGATTTCTTCCATTTTTTGCGCCGCAGGCGAAAATTTTGAGAATTTTGGAGGTCCTTAAGCCAGATTTCTTCCATTTTTTTCAAAATGTTGATTTTAAAGTACATACTTTCAATAAAGTACAAATTCAATTTCGTAAGTACGGAGGTCGATTTTAAAGTACTGTACTTTCAAATAAAGTACGAATCCGAGCCCTGATTTATTTTATATTTTCCGGAAAATTTATTTCTCATTTTAGGAAGCGTCTTTTTCCGGAAATTTTATATAAATACTAGTGATGGTCGGGATTCCCGGTCTTGGTTCCCGAGTCAGGAAATTTACCAGATTTTTTGAGCCCTCGGTCTCGGTCCGAGACTTGGTCTCGGGGTTGATCCCCGGTCAAGACTCTCGACACTCGGATTTTTTAACTCCTGACCATCACTAATAAATACATACATGTCTTTGTATTTTCTTAATTAAACTATTAAATATTCAATTTTTCTAAATTCCCACCTTAACCAAAAAATAATAAATTATATATTTTTTACGTCAATAAAATTTACATATATAAAAATATTTTTGTTAAATTCCCTCCAATCTATTTGTGTAAAAACAACTTTTGTTTAAATCACATGATTATAGACAACGCCTGTTTTTACCAGGATTTTTTCTTTTTTTGATAAATTACCCAAAAATTGATTGGGGGAATTAATCCAGAAAATTAAATTAATTCTGGCTTTGATAAAATAACAAATTAATTTTTTGTTTAAATTTAAGCAAATACATACTTTAATAAAGGTTACTATAAATTGAATTATGGTAGCTTATTTCAGGAAATTTATAAGTTTTCCGGAATATTTTATATCAGTTTATTCATTGGTTATATTTTCCGGTTTCGGAATCTTTTTAAGAAAAAAATCCGGAAACTTGTTTTCTGCTGAAAATCATACAAACTCTCATATTTACATAATATATGAAAATAGATTTTAATTATATTTAATTAAAACATTACTGACATTTTCGTAAATAATACAAAAAATTAATTGACATATTTTTGAAGAGGATTTTCATATATCCTCAATAATTATTTTATTCTGAAAATTTGTATATTTTATATAAATTTATTTATTGGCTATATTTTCCGGTTCCGGAAACTTTTTCAGATAAATACGGAAACTTTTTCTTCTCCTAAAAATCATACAAAGCCTCATGTTTACATAATATATAAAAATAGATTTTAAATTATATTTAAGAAAAACATTCTAACACTTTTTAGGGCATTTTAAATGGCTTGTTCATCTTATATTTTTGAAGAGGATTGTTCATAAATCCTCATATATTCAATTTAAGTTAAATTGGCTTTTACGGAAAGTTGTTTTATGTATTTATTATTTATTTTCCGGAAATTGTCTTCTTTTGTTCTTGTTTATGAATTCAAGACATGACTTTTTCCTTCTCCTGAAAATATCACAAACTTCCTATAATTTACATAATATATAAAAATAGATTTTTAATTATATTTAAGAAAAACATTACGCAACTCTTTTCGCGTTAGACCCAAATTGATTATCGTATTTTTGAAGAGGATTTTTTATAAATCCTCAAATAATTGTTTTAGTTTGAAAATTTTCAGTTTTAGTATTAAATTTAAAATATTAAATTTATTATTGCCGGAAAATTAAAAGTTACTTGTAAATTTCTATCTTAATTTGCTTTTGTTTCAATTTCTTCCATTTAAAGAAACAAAATTTTGAAATTTTATTTTTCTTAATTTTAAATTGTCCTTTTCTTTCACAAAATGGCATTTTCTTTAAAAATTTTTCTTTTTATTTTCCGAATTTTTTATTAATAGAATAATATACGTACTTAACTAATACCTTCCAAAATTGGAAAAAATTTTCAAAAAAGAGTAAATAACTTCATTAGAATTTCCAAAATTTTCCCTTTGTACTATCAAAGATGACAGATGGCTTGTTTATTTTTTCTAGTTTTTTCTTGTTTATTTGCGTTTATTATTATTTCCGGAAAACTATTTATTATTGTTAAATTAATTAAAAGAATTTGTGATAAAATACGGAATTTTTTATTAAAACAATATTTAATTCCGGAAATTTCCGAAATAATTATGGAAAAAATTCCAAAAGCTTCGAAAAGATTTCAGGAATTTATTTACATACATTATTCCGGATTACCTATATTAGTGTCGGCAAATGGATTTTTTCGGTTCCGGTACCGGTACCGGGAGTACCGAAAAGTCTCGATACCGAGTGGTACCGAACTTTTCTAAAATCTCATCGGGACGGTTCCGTTTCAGGGAGTACCGTAAAATACCGACTCTGTATTTTCCGTTACCGTTGGAGTACTGAACCGTGCCGAACACTAACCTATATTCCATATATTATTTGGAAATTCCTGAAAGATCTTTTCTATTTCCGTAAAGATACGACACAATAAGATACCTAAACCTGATAACCTTTCTATGTAATAATCATTAAATCAATTTTTATTATTCTTCCCGCAAAATTTTTCTTTTAGCAAAAAATCTTTTTCAAAAACTCATAAATTACGTCATAATAATTTTTAAAAATTAAATTTCCCAAATTCTTCAATAAAAAAATAAAAATATTCAAAACATCCTTTATTCTTTTTAATGTCAAAATTTTCTCTTTTTTAAGGTAATCCACTCAAAATTCAATTTACGCCCTTCAAAAAATATTTTTTACCAAAAAAAGTTAAAAATGTACTCTTCTGAAAGCTTTAAGGGATTTATTTTAATGTCACTCAATTTATTTTCATAAAAATATTTTCTTTATTTTCAGTTATTTTTTAAAAATTATTTTGTTGAAGAAATGCCCTTTTAGGGTTGAAAAAATTTTTGCTTCACAAAAGTAACCCCTACTTATTTTTAATGTACATAATATCTTTTTTCAAATTTTTCCGGAAAGAAAATACTTGCGTTTTCAAATAAATTAATTTCCGGAAAAACACACATGAAATACATAAATATACTTTTCCGGAAGAAGTTAAATAGATAAAACGTATTCAGGAAAATACAAAAATTCCGGAAGGAAAATACAAGCTTCTGGAAAGAAATAAAATAATTTACGGAACGATATGTGTTTCAGAAAAAGACAATTATAAGTTTCCGGAATTTAAAGTTATGCATAAATAAATAATAAAACATTCCGGAAAATACAAAAAATGATAAAGAATATAATTAATGTATTTGACAATTATTTAATATACACCTTTTAATTATTTTGTGATTCCAGAATTTTAGTAAAATTTATTCTATCTTGGAAAATTTAAAAATTTTTATATTTTAATTTTTCTACTAAATTAAAAAATTTTCATTCTATTCTTTTTTCATTTTTAGATTTTTTCCAGCCTTCCTTTTCCAACAGAAACCTCAATAAATGTTTAAACACCCAATAATTTCAACTACGTAAATGTACATATTTGAGTAGATTAATGTCTGAAAAAATTTTTTTGAAATAAATTCTAGCTAGTTTCCGTTAAAATCAAAATCCACAATTAAAAAAAGATATAAAAATTTAATTTCAGCAAAAATTCTTTTCTTTCCGGATATTAAAATAGCAAAAAATATTTTTATGAAATTGATAATGAGAAGACTTAAAATATAAATTTAATAAATTTATCAAAATAATTTAATTATTTCCTGTTATTAATAATATTTTAATTTCCGGAAACTTTTAGTTAATACTAACCGGAAATAAATGTATTATACTTTAATTATATAAGCTTCCGGAAATGTTAAAAATATTTTCCGGATATTAAATAAAAGCTTCCGGAAATTAATAAAATTTTCCGGAATTTTATATTTTCCGGAAAAGTATGGAATAGAAGCCATCAAATATTAGAGGCGTTGTTTCCGGAAACTTATATATTGCTTCCGGAAAATTTTTATTTAAATTATATTTCCGGAAAGAGTGTTTCCGGTTATCAAAATATTAATAGGGGAAATTAATAAAAATACTTTTAACATTTCCGGATATTAAATAAAAGCTTCCGGAAATTAATAAATCTTTCCGGTAATTTTTTATGTTTTCGGTAAGGTTCGTAATAGAAGTCATTAAGTATTAAAGTTGTTTCCGGAAACTTATTATTATATTTTGTTTCCGGAAAACTTGATTATATTTAAATATTTCCGGAAATAAGATTTCCGGTTATCAAAATATTAATAGGAGAAATTAATAAAAATATGTATATTTAACATTGTGAAATAATTTTAATTATTTGACATTTCAATTTAAAATTTACCCCAAAATCCAAAATTTTAAAATTAAAATTTCCCAGGATTCTCTTTTCAATATTATTTTTTCATTTCATTATTACGTCATTTCCATTACCAAAAAATTTTCTATTTTTTATTCTCGCAGAGATTTAACGGTTAAATGACTACCAAAAAGCAACTTTTCCATATTTGCTTTTTATAAATTAAATTGAATATAAAATCAAAAATTCTTTAAAAACCCTTTCTATTTATTTTCCATTAAATTTTTGCGAGAAATATTTTTGGAAATGTATATCAAAATATCCACTTTATTTTGTAAAAATATCAGAAGGCCTTAACGCAAAAATTCACATTTTCTTTCTCACGAGGGAAGAAATTATGGACGAATATCCGTGGATCCATCCGTATCCGTCTGATTAAAAAAATAAGTATACGGATATATCGGTGAGATCCGGATATTATCCTTAGCCATGACCATCAGTCTGCTAGAAATATGCCATATATGTCAAAATAATTAAAATAAGTTTATTTATTTCCCTGTAACCTTTGAATCACATCCATTCAGGCATCCGCGATTACTTCCGCTTTTTTAATGCCACCTCAAGTCTAAAATTTATTTCTTTGTTTTTCTTACTACATACATATTTTTGTTTATTTCGTAAATTCCAGGAAAATATCCACATTTACTAATCTTTATTCTTTTCCTCGGAATTTTACCAGAAATTAATTTTTTTTATTTTCCCCATTCATTAAGAAATAACAAAAATATTTTTATATATTTTTCAGAATTTTTAAATAAATTAATTTTCGATTCATAATTATCTCTTCTTTATTCTCTAAGCAACAAATAAATAATTAAAAAGAATTTTTTCTCAATTTCTATTTATGGATTTAAATAAAATTAGAAAAGAAGAAAATTTAGATAAATAAGCAACATTTAGAAAAAAAATTTTATTTGGAATTTATTTGGAAAAAAGAAATTTAACTAATGGGGTCGTCAGCTGCGGCAGCATGGCTTCCTTTTGCAAAGTAAAAAAAATTTTTGAAAAAAATTTTTTAAATTTTCCAGAAAAAATTTTAGATCTTTTTTTATTTTTATACACTTTCTCGGATATAGTCTAGTCGAGGACCTGAACTGAAATGTCAATGTTATACTAAGTTGAACGGTACTCTCTCTAACAAATAAGTGTCGAGATGCCTGCGGACCGATATACAGGTCCACAAATATCGAAAAACCAGAGAGGGGAGTAAGCTCAATTTTGTGATAAGAAATTCGATTTTTTATGATAGCTCTTTCTAATGAGCTCGACGAGCTGAAACGAATAACACCTAAATCATAGTGATTGAACAAGCTCAGATTTATTTAGCAGACTAGGAGATGGATACGGATTTTGATATCCGTATCCGGATATTTATGCCGGATACAGACGGATACAGGCGGATATCCGCAGGCATTTTGGTATCATCTGTATCCATATCCTTATCCATGAGCATGTCTGTTATTTAGTATTGTGTAAAAATTAAATATTGTTAATTTTACTAATTGAAAAAAATATTTTTTATAGAGCATCTGCCGTTGGATGGTCTCCAATCTCTCGAACATCCCTTCCCAAACCTCCAGCTGCCCTAAAGGCTAGTTTACATTTTTATAATACAGTCAACCTGACTCCACTATAGGATACCCCCAAATACCCCTTCCCCTCCGAAAAATTAAACCACCTCAATTTATAATATGTACATTTTTTATATTGGGTCAGCTAGTAGGTAAGTGTACCTTTCAAGACGATACTTTCAATTTAAGAGACCTCTTTCAAAATAAAAGGCCCCTCATTAAAAATACATTTTCTCCAGACTCAAAAGATTAAAAAAGAATATGATTAGACTGTGTTTAACCAAAAAATAATTTTAAATTAAAAATTAAAAAAATTTTTTTTCAGGCAAGAGAATTAGCCATAGACCACGTTGGCGATGTAAGGTTAATAATCAACATCTCCGGTGTGGGTATTTAATTAAATTTAAATTAAATTGTTTTATTTTTCTTGTTTAACTCTAATTTATTTTTAAAATATTTATAGCGTCGTTACGACACGTGGAAGAACACTTTAGAACGCTTTCCAGAAACCCTGTTGGGTAGCAATGAAAGAGAATTTTTTTACGATGAGGATGCTAAAGAATATTTTTTTGATAGGGATCCAGACCTTTTTAGGTGATTTTAATATTTAAAAATTTTTCGAAAATTTTCCGAAAATTTTCCTAAAATTTTTTTAAATTTTTAAAATTTTCAAGAAAATTTTTTCAAAATTCTTAAATTTCCAATTCTAGACACATCCTCGCATTTTACCGTACTGGCAGACTACACTACCCCCAAACTGAATGTCTTGTCTCCTATGAAGAAGAATTGGCATTTTTTGGAATTATACCTGATTTAATTAGTGATTGTGAGTTTAATAAATTCTATTGTCGAAAACAGGGACAAGCTAAGATATTCAAAAATAGCTTTAAGAGGACTCTAGAAATCCTCGCTCCAAAAATTATCTCGTCTTTTATTATTCAAATTAATGTTTTATAAACGTTTTCCTTGTAAGAAAATATATTTCATTTATTTAATATTGTGTAAAAATTTTTTTGTAAACTTTCATTTCTATCCTCCAATTTGTACTTTATGCTTTTGAGTTTTCCATGAAGAGAAAGCTTTGAGAATGCGGGTAAATCCCTATTTTGTGTCCACTTTGTACCAGGAATTTTGACATTTCGCTCTCGGTTATGTAGCAAATGGAGTTTTTAGGTATTAGGCATGCCGAAAAATACCACAGCGAAAATTTCGGTATACCGGCTGCTATTTTTTCAAAATTTTATTTTCACCATTATCAAGAGGGATTGAAAGGAATAAAGGTGGATTTTGACAAAAATAGAGATTTTGAGAAATTTTGAAGTTTCGAAGGCGTATTCGAGGAATATGCTATTAATCCTCCAAATCCAAAAAAATCCTCTTAATCTCCCAATTAAGCCTCATAAACTGATCTTTATTCCTTTAATTTTCCCTTTAAATCAGAACCACTTTGAATTCTCGGATATATGTACATATATCCAACTAATACGTCTTATAGAATTTCTAAATTAAACTCGAGAAAAATTTTTATGAGGATTTAAATAAAATCCTCGTTCCAAAAATTAACATTTTTCCATTTACCCCCCGAAGTGACATACTCTAAGAATCTGTATTATTAAATAACAATAAATTTAATTATTAATATTAAGTAAATAAAATTTATTTAATAGGTTGCTACGAGGATTACAAAGACAAAAAACGGGAAAATCAAGAAAGACTAATGGAGGAGAGAATAGATGCCCCAGAAAAGAAGAAAGACATGACTTTTAGGGTAACTCAATAGAAAAAATCTAAAAATTAAAGAAAATTAATTTTTAAAGCAAAAAATGTGGACAGCTTTTGAGGTAATTTTTATAATTGTAAAAATTTTTTTGGAGCTTCAATTTAATTTTTAAAGAATCCTCACACATCCACAACAGCTCTTATTTTTTATTATGTAAGTCTTTTGGAAAAAAATTTTTTTGAGTCAAAGAGTGACAGGAAGAGAATTTTAAAATTAAATGGAAGGGGCATGAAAAATAATTTTTAAAAATTTCTTTAAAAATTATATAATTTTGTGTGATAGAAAACATGAATGTTTGAACAATACTTAAATTTTTATACGTGAATTTTCCAAATTTTTACAAGTAAGAGGATTGCTAGCAAATCTTCGATCCAAAAATTATCTACTCTTAGCAAAATAATTATGATGACCAAGTTTAATTTAATTTAATTAAAATTAAATTCGTTTATTTAATATTATGTAAAAATTAAAGAATTTTTTTATTCACTCAGTCCGTTCAATAAATTTTTCTATAAACAAATCTCATTTTTAAAGTCCCCTATCTTTTTTTCAAATAGCCCTTAAAAATTTTTTTTCTAGGTGACAGGCTTCTTCATTGCCGTCTCTGTCCTCTGCAATATAATAGAAACCATCCCCTGTAAATACCTCGCTCACAGTTTTGGCTCAATCTCTTGTGGTGATCTCTATGAAAAACAAGTAGAAATTTCAAAAAAATTTTTTCTGTAAAAAATCTCTTTCAATTTTTTCAGTTTTTTGTTCTTGACACGGCCTGTGTTGTTATTTTTACTATAGAATATTTATTTCGATTATATGCGGCGCCGGATAGGTGCAAGTTTGTTAGGTCTATAATGTCTCTAATTGATGTTATTGCTATTTTACCTTATTATATTGGGTTGGGATTACAGGTAGAATTTTTATAAAATTCTGATTTATGTTGATTCTGATTTTATTTTAATTCTGATTCTATTGTTTTCAACTTCTGTTCTGATTTTTTTATTCCTATTCTTAAAATTCTGATTTTATTAAATTCTGATTAAAAAAATTCTGATCTTATTAACTTATAATTTAAAAGATTCTGATTTCTGTTAATTCTGATTTCAATATTCTGATTTTAAAAAATTCTGATTTTTGGTAATTCTTATATTAAAAATTCTGTTTTCCAGAATTCTGATTTTTTAAATTCTGAATTCTCGAAATTCTGATTTTTTTAAAATTCTGACTTTATTAAAATTCTGATTTTTAATAAAATTATAGGAGAACAAAGACGTCAGCGGAGCTTTTGTTACGTTGAGGGTATTTCGCGTATTTCGAGTCTTTAAATTTTCAAGGCAAGTTTTTCAACTATAAAAATTTTTTTTTAATTATTTTATGAATTTTGACACATTTTTAATTAATTAAAAAAAATATTTTTCCCTTCCAGACATTCCCAAGGTCTTCGAATCCTCGGATATACCCTCAAATCTTGTGCCTCAGAATTGGGTTTTTTAGTGTTTTCGCTAGCTATGGCAATTATTATTTTTTCTACAATTATTTACTACACAGAAAAACGGGTGCCTGACACTAAATTTACTTCAATTCCTGCCGCTTTTTGGTATACTATTGTTACTGTAAGTTAATTTAACTTTTCAGCCACTTGTTTTCGTTTATTTTTCTTTTCTTTTTACTTAATATATAAAAGTTGAATTATATTTTTATATATAAATTAAGTTAAATTTTCTATTAAGATTTGTTGATAAAGATTAAGAGATAATTTTTGGGAAGAGGATAGGTACCAGTCCTCATAAACGTTGTTAATATTTTTCGACGTAGACGTTAGATTGACAATTTTAAATTTCAAATCTGACAGTTATGCCAAAATAAAATTGTGTTTTTGCGTTTTTTGGCTCCTTTAAAATATTTCCTTTGTTAAGTCTTCGTCTTCGTATACGAAATCAAATAAAATAAATTTTTTATCTTTAAGCTTACAACACTTGGTTATGGCGATTTTGTTCCTTATACTGTAAGCCTCTCAATAAAATTTATTTAAAAATATTCTTTAAAAATTAAAAAGGTGATGGGAAAAGTTGTGGGAGGTATTTGTTCGTTAAGTGGAGTTTTGGTTATTGCTTTACCTGTTCCTGTTATTGTCTCAAACTTTTCCAGAATTTATCATCAAAATCAGAGGGCGGATAAGAGAAAGGCTCAAAAGGTGAATTTTTGTTTGGGGGATTTAAACAAATTTTTTACCACAAGAATAAAAATTATTCCAATTAGGAGATTTTACGAACTGATTTTAAGCAATAGGTTCTGACGAGGGAAAAATGTTTTAATTTAATCGTTTTAAGAAGTAAGATAACTTTATTTTAAACTCCTTTTAAAAATTCTCGAAATTTCGCATTTTTCAATTTTGCGTTTACATAATATTAAATAGTCGAATTATAATATTATTTACATCAAACCGTAAGCTGTTATATAACTAATATTCTATAGGTGAAATTTTTGGGACGAGGATATCCTAGGTGTCCTCATAAAATTCTAAGACGTGATTAGGATCATTCATGATTCAGATCAGCGAAAACATGTTTCGGATCATTGGTGGTATTATTGCTTTATTTCCGTTAAAATTTGGGTATGCGTTATTTTTGACGAACTACATCTAAGTTTTAACATAATCGGAGAAATATACTCGATGACCTTCCAAAATTCTCAAAATTTTCGCTTGCGGCGCTCTTGCGACACCACTTATTCGTTTATCCTCTCTTGTTTCCGACCGCTTAACCATATGTTAATAATTTAGTTTGCTGAAATTTCATTTTCGTTCCTTATTAAAAAAACTTTTTAAGAAAGCCAGAATGGCAAGAATTCGTATTGTTAAAAATGCTAGTGGTCAAGTACTATCAAATCGTAGGAAAGGATATGAACAAAGAATGCATGATTTTGAGCTTGGGTTGTTAGGTCCTGAACAATTAAAAGACGAGGATATATTCCAATTACAACATCACCATTTGCTTATGTGTTTGCACAGAGCTACGGTATGTTGATATAAGCACAAGTTGGTTAACAGATAAACTAAAAACAAAATTTTTAAACTCGATTTGTGACCGGCAACTATAATAGATATCTAACTGACTATTGGATTAAAAGCGCAATACTTTAATAGAATTGTAACTTTTCAAATTCTTGTTATTAAACACTGTCTCGGCCAGTGTTCAACACTATATAGTCTTAAGTTTCCAAAATTAAAACACCTTATCGGACACTTGTTTTACTGGGGCTGTAAGTTATAAATTAGAGACCACACCTAGGATAGATAAGCAGAAAATCTCAGTTAACGCTTCGTGATCTTAATCTTCGTACACCACTAAATCTTATCCAAAATTACAACATTAACCAACTTTGATTAAAAGCTGACATACATAATTCGCCATATTTCAAGGAATGGGATAAAGACGAATCAGAAGAACGGGAAAAAAGAACAAGCATTGGACAAAAAAGGGAAGGAGAATGTAATTATGACCAAAAAAGCGACAACATCCTCCCAGACCAAATTAATGATAACAACAATTCCCCACCCCTTCAACAACCCCCATTTAAATTAACACCCGTGAGGAACTGGTTAACCCGAATGAGGCAACACAGCGCTTCTTTTTGTGGACAAAGAGGAAGTAGCAGGAAAAAGCTTTGGAGGTACAAGGCTAGAAGGATGTCTAGTAGTGGGAAGGATACACAGAGACTTGATGAGGAAGAAGCGATTGGAGGTGATGGTATGTTGACTGATAGCTTTTTTAATTTATAAGAGGGGATAAGAATAGTACCGAATATTACAAGTTTAGATTCCATCATATCTGTTAAGGCTAGAGGAGGAACCAACTAGGGACCAAGAGGGTTTATGAAAAAATTGTTTTGTTCTACTTAATATTAAATAATTGAAATTAATTATATTTAATTTAAACTTGAATTCTTGCGAAACATGGTCAGTTACCATTGAAGAGGAATTTTATTTTTGGATGGAGGGTAGATTGAATCCTCCTGATATTTGTTTAGCAGATAACCGAAAAACTGATTGGTTCTGAAGCCGAACCTCAAATTTCCAAGCAAAAAATTTTCTTAGCTTCTTTTCGTCTTTTAATAATTGTCTTTTTTTCCAGTTCTAAACACCAACAAACATTCACAATACCAACAACTTTCACAATTAAATGCAATCCCTTTGAGAGTTACACCAGCTAACGAGCCTAGCACCTCCACAACTGTAATAGATGAAGAGTTAGATCATCAATATACTCGAGAACAACAGTTGGAGGACTATGAAGATGCTGAATTGATTAAAGAAAGTAACCTAAACGAAGACAGAAATGAAGGAAAGGAGGAGAAGGGGCAGATATTTATACATCCCCCTATTCGCATTGTTGTTTCGGAGGAAGGTTTTGATCCAGGGGAGGGTGGAGGAGATGGAGGAGGGAATAGAGGGGAAGGAGAAGTAGAAGGGGAAGATCTAGGAAGAGAAGAACATCAAGAAAGGGAGGAAAGCAAAAATAGAGGTGAGGAAGAGGAACAAGTTGAAGAATCAAAAGAATCAGAACCACAACAAATAAACGAAAATAATAAAATAATATCATTGGAGGAACTACAAAGAGTAAAATTAGAAAATACAAATAGGTGCCAATAAATCTCAAAAAAAATTTATTTTCTCTCCTAAATTTTTGAACATAATCAACACTTTTATTTTGTCGCTTAATAGCGTGGTTTGCTCATTTTTATAGATGGATGTCAGAATTTTATAAATCAAAATTCTGATTTTTCTTTAATTCACCTACATAAATATCAATTCTGATTTTTAAAATTTTTTCAGAATTTTTAATTGCTTTAGCTAAAAATCAGAATTCTGAATAATAATCTTAAATAAATTTTCTGACTAAAAACCAAATTCTGATATACCGTATTTACTCGATTAATTCCCCCGGGGAATTATTTTTTCAACCCATCCGTAGCATGGGGAATTAATCGAGGGAGGGGAATTATTCTAGGGAGGGGAATTAATCGAGTAAATACGGTAAATAGAATTACAAATTCTGATTTGTATTTTGTAAAACCTTTGTAACGGATTGTTCAAAATTCTGAGATTAATTTCTTGTTTCATTTCTTATCTTATTTTGCCATTGAATCTACTCTTGTCTTTTTTTAACACAAAAGATATTATTTCATATTATGTATTTTCATTTTAAATTTTAAAATAAAACAATGTGTAAATGAAAATTTATATTTTATCGGGTCAGGGGCAAATTCGAAAAAATAAAACTATAACGCATTAACATGAAAAAGCGGTTCTTCTTAATAATCTTCCAATTCTTCATCCTCAGGCATCTCGTTCAAATCAAAAGGCTGCATTTTCTTATTTAAATCTATTGTGTCTTCTTCTACTTCGATTTGATTTTGCTCATCCTTGTCATTATTGCATTCTTCTTGCCCTTGATCATGAAGATTTTCTTCTTCCTCGCAAACAATTGGTAATTTGCCTTTACTAGTAAAATCACCAGTCTGTGGATTAACAAATGAAGTTCCTTCATTATTTTCAGATTGGACGTTTTTCTTATTTTGACGGTATTTTCGCTGGTATTCATTCAACTTATCTCTATTATTTTGGCGGTAAATTTTCATATATTGCTGGCTTGCTTTATTTATACTTTCTTTATTTCTTTTATAGTAATTTCGTTGATACTCATTTAACTTTTTTTTATTTTTTCTGTAATATTCTTTATAATATTCACTTCTGTCAGACACTTTGTTTCCTCCATTATCAGAGTCATTATTAGTAATTTTTAATTTTGGGTTTAACGTTTCTTTATATTTTCGAGTTTGAGGATTGACCGACGATTCAGCCTCATCATTTAATGTTTTAGTTGCCGTGTAATCCGTTTCAACATCTCTAGCTAAGCCTCTTCGAATGGGAGTAGTTTTAATAGATGACCAAAAAATCAAAATAAAGATTGAAACAATTAAAATACTTGCAAGTTTCATGCTAAACAAATTTTAAAATTTAAATAAAAATTAAAGAAAAATGATAAAATTTAATTAAAAATTGCATTTAAATAAACGAAAATTTGTGTGTATGCATAAAAGGGCAGGCAATAAATTTAGAGAGTCTAAATATTAGGCAATCAAAATAAATAATTAAAAGTGCATTTACACACACGTTTTTACATTTCTTAATTGAAAAAAAATAAAATTGAATGACAGGATGCTGTGTCGAAATCTGTGCCGAAAAATCAGAAAAAGGCTTGAATAACCAAAACCAAAAAGTTTTTTTGTCAACGTTTTTTTATATTTTTGAGTTTGAGGATTGACCGACGATTCAGCCCAGTCTTTTACTTATAATAGTTCAATTGCCGTGTAATCCTTTTCAATATATATAGGTAATTGGAGTAGTTAAATGCTGCAAATAGTATTGAATTGGCGATTACTAGAGTGCCGAACTATCTAACAGACTGATTACTAAATTTCAAAACCATATGTATTTATGTTTTTAAATATCAAAAACAAATAAAATTCATTGAAAGAAAAGTGCAATGTCGAAATAAAACAACAAAATTTATTGAATAAATTATTGTGAGAAATAAAAATTAATAAGAAATATGACAGGGACAATATTTCGGAAAAAAATATGAGAGATTTTCGAAATCTTGCTTCTCAACCCACCCTTTTCCTTTCTCTAGTTCTTAGGGTGTCGGCTTAATTTTTGATTCAGTCCTAGGCCAAAAATCTGGATAATAAAAAATTAAAAATTTACAAATTGTTAGGGTAAATTGAAGAAATAAATAATTCATTTTAAAAAATCCCTTAATATTCCCTCAAATTCCTTATAACTCCTTAATACCCAGATATTAAGTAGTGTCCCTAAATCCCTCACTATCTCCCCCAACCCTCAATTCTCCAAATCTTACCCGAAAATTTTATAAAATTGACTGCCGACCAGATTGATCATCTTCTTTTTAAGCAGCATAATTTGCCACCTTACAATTTTATATACTAATTCAGTTTTGGAAATAAAAATTTTATTTCCGATTTCAAAATTATTACGAAAACAATTTTTGATTTCCGATTCCCGACCTTTTAGCCATTACAGATTTCCGACAGCTCGTATTTCCGACACCTGCGCATTTCCAACCCACCGCTGATTGTTAGTACAAAATAAATTAATTAGTTTATATTATGTATTTTTTTTATTTTTGAATTTTTTTAAATTAATTAGTTTATATTATGTATTATAATTTTTTATTTTTGAAACAAAACAATGTGACAAATAAAAATGTATATATTTCACCGGTTATTTAATGAGTAATTTAATTTTATTCTTTTAAAAACTTTTTCCATTATTTTAAATACACTGGGGTCTAGAGCAACATCTGAAAATTTTTTGGAAAATATATTTTAGATATCCAAACTTACACTTTGTGCCGATAGCTTTCACTCCATACACAGTAAGGAAAATCAACAAATGTACAGCTATTGATAGCGGTGCATTGTAGAGGCAAATTGGTATATCCGGGATACATTTTTGCTTGACCTTTAAGTTGGGAATTACTGTCTAGTATTATTATGTATATTAAGCTAAAAAAAGGACCGGGCTTGAAGAGGATATTAGATGAGGGCATATCCGATGCTATTTTGGGTAATACGCGGGTTAGTCCCCGACGGGGTTAGCATTTTCGGGGAAAAGGAACGTCGAGTAGTGGAGGGTCTTTCAATCATCACGGGCGGTATAATTGTCAGAGACCGTCCTACCCTAGTTGATACATTCAGTCAGCCGAGGCTAGGGTCGGATTTTTTCGTGCCTCATTTATTTCGGGCCGAACCGTTCTATTTCGGGTCTAATTTTTATCGAACCAGGCCGTTCGAGAGAGGTTCGATCTTTCAAACCGAACTGAACCGAGCCCCCAACCCTAGTCGAGGCATTTAAGATTGTGCCTAGACAACTGGTTATCAAAATGTCTATGTTATGAAAATGCCTTATATCTTAGGGTATTTATATCCCAAGGTTATTATTAATTATATCTTTACTAAACTCACCATAAATAGGATTTTCTGGACTTATTCCACAACAAATATACTGTCCTCCCTTATAAAGATTATTATACTCGCAATGATAGCCTGGGGAACATTTCTTGTAGACACAGTCTATTGGGATGCCTCCACTCACTTCCACATCTGCACTTGGATTCCGACACTTTGCTATAATTAAAATTCGACATTTCAACATTTTCGAGTAAAAAAACTAACGAAAAGATAGCTGAGCCCCTCTCGGGTCCCAAACAAATGGATAACCAGCTCCAACATTTGTCCCTATAAAATAACAAGCAAAATTCCTGCAAATCAAAGGGTGGTCGCCGGGGCGAGTCCTACACTGCAAATCATACATACATCGTTCTCCGACTCCTACAAGTGGCAAACACTGGCCATTAAGCATTATATGGTTTGGAGGGCACAGAACTGTAGAAAAATAATTTTAGAAGTTTTTATCAAAATATCGGATGATAACATTCACTCAACCTTACCACCCATTTTCTCCTCTGGGTAATTAATATTTCAACCTATATGTGGGATGAGGATCTACTCGTGTTTTGAAATTTAAGCATGCAGTAGAGCATTTGGAGGATAAGAATTATTGTTTCAACACATCCCCTAATTTTTCAGTAGCTCTTACGGACTCCAATCAGTCTTATTAATACGGCCATTTAGAGTAGGGATGAAAAAAAGACAAAAAATTGTTCATAGTGGATTTCAAAGCATTGTCATGTTACCTAAAGGAATAATTGAGGGTAGTGTTTACAGAGAGAATTGCTTTTCAATTTGCATAATATTTTTTATTTGAATTTTCATTTATTTATATTTAATTATAAATAATTATAGGATGTTCATTATTTTGACAAGTCAAATATTTTTGTAATGGGGATAAGTGAATCCTCATGAATTATCAATGATTTGAGCTAGAAAACATAATAGGGTTGCTTACAATTAGTTTGTGCCTTGATTTTAAATATTTTATAGTTGAAATTCAAAAAACTGTATATGTCAAATCAACAAACTCTGAGCTTAGCCACTTCATTAAAATCTCTTTACACCATAATTTCCTATAAAACTAATTAAATCCGACCATAACAAGGTACGTGACAATGTTTTGTTTAATAGTCTGACTTAGAAAGATAGAAATTTCAGTTCTGTCTTTTGTCATAACCTCACTCACTTAAATAATTAAAAAAATACATAATTACCATTTGGAATATTCGGATCATCGATACACTGCTTTCCGTTGTATAACTGCCCCGGCGGGCAAACACAACGTTTCTGGAAGCAAATACTTCCAAGATAATTGCATTGTTTGCCTTTATGGTTAAATTTAAATTTTTAAAATTATCAATATAAACTGTATTCGCAGAACCCTCCATATGCTACATAATTGTAACAATGTCCATTAATCGAAACCTGACCCATAGCACACCCAGCATTTGGACGTGGATCATCTGGGAAATTTGGAAATATTGGCACAATTATAACAGTAGAATTATATTTTTGGTAAGGGTAAATTTATTTATTTCAAAAAATTTTTTGAAAAGTTAAATCTAAATGTGTCAAATTTTAAATTATAATCGGGAAGTGGTCTATGAACATTCTCCATCTCAAAAATTAAGGGATACAATTGCAAAACCAAATGTGCTTCTAAAAATTTGGATTTATAAAATTTGTTAAGAAATTTTTCAAAGATAAATTTAAAATTTGCTAATCCTCTCAATAATAATTAAAAATATTTTAAGACACACTTATTTACAGGGGCCGTGCACAGCCCCCTTCCCAAAAATTAGTTTAATCACCTAAACCACTTAACCCTACCCGTTATGCTCAGAATTAATTTTATAAAATTTTAAATTGAATAAAATATATTGAGTAAAATATTTAAGGTTGCTTCACAATTTGCAAACTTAAATAAAACTTACACACTCCTTGTGGAAGACAGTCCTCTCCATTATAATTAAATCCTATACGACAGTAACACAAATCTTTGCGACACTCAGAGTTGGTAAATTTACATTGGGAGTTTTGTGTGCATGCAGAGCCATAGCCAGATGGAGAAGCTTTAAATAAGATTAGTTTTAGATTTTATTAATAATTAAGTTCCCTCCATAACAGTTAGGCCTAAACGAATTTCAAATAGCAAAAGACGGAAGAAAACGTGAAAAATGAAAAAGAGGAAGGCCGAAAGCAAAAAAATCCCGAATCAGCAGTAGATGGAACGGAAGAGATCCCATTTCTTCTACATAACTTTGTAAGGATAATGGAAGAAAGGCAAGAAAGAGAAAATTTTTCTAGTACATATTGGGGAATTATAGGCAAAACCAAAACTTTTAAAATCCACGACTCAGTATGTATTTACAGGGGCTACTTATAACCCCCTTCCCAAAAATTTCACTATGCCGATATACCTCTAATTTAGGAAAATTTATTTTAATTATAGTTGTATAATTAATATAAATTATATTAAGTAAAACAAAAAATATTATAAAAAAAATATATTAGGTATAAAAAATATAAAATATGTATATTAAAAGATATTATATTAGGAAATTTCATCAGATGGCTTGTTGGTTTCATCAGATTCTTCAGTTAACGAAAACGAACCAACAAACAGAACCGAAAACCTATTCTTGAGTCTGTTTGAAAAGTCTCTTGCTTTTAAAATTCTTGATTTTAAAGAGTTTAAAATTTCGATATTTTTGAAATTTTTCTGATTTCCGATATTCGGAAAAAATATTTACAACGAAACAGCCCTTATATACATGTATTTTTCGAGATTTCTAATGCGTATCCTTTAAGAATCCCAAAAATTTTTTTAAAAATTACTAACGATTTTTTGCAGCGCAACAATGCCCTTGAAAACAGAAAAAGCCGGGTGCCAACTCCTGACAGTTTTGGTCTGTTGTACACCCCACCCCGTTAAACAAAGAAATTTGGTTTGGACCGCATTGGGAATTTGTTGAAGCTAAGCCGATGACTAGTTGAGCAAATAAATTTGAAATTTTAAATGATAGAAGAAAACAAAATAAAAATGGAAGAGAATCTAATAATGGAGGCATATCTGAATTAAAATTTATAAATTTTACTAGAAAAGTTTAAGAGAATAAGCAATAATACGAGTATATTTGAAATTAAACCTATGCAGTTTAAAAACGTCATATTAAATTTGCAGGGGCGTGCACCTCCCCCTTCCCAAAAATTTTTTGAGTTTCCAATTACAAAAAATACCCTACATTTCTAATTCAAAATTAATAGTTATTCAAATATACATAAATGTATTAATTAATATTAAGTAAACGATTTTTTGTACAATTATCCCCTAACTTAAATCTAAACAATTTTTTGAGCGTTCTAGCCCTCTAGAATTCCGGACACAAACCATATGTTCATGGGTTGAGAATGTCGGGTCGTGTTACATACCAAAAAAGTCCGCGTAACGGTGTCGGATGAGTCAGTTAAAAATTTTAATTCAACAGGACAAGATTTTCTTTTTTCATTTTTTAGCGTCGCAGGTAGTGTTGTCGGTTTCACCAGATGCATCGGTTAACCGATACCGACACCCTAGTAGCAAGCGAAATCTTTGAGTAAATTTGATTAATTAAAAAAATTAAAAAATTTTCAGGAAAATAATTTTTTCATTGACGCGCAGACTGACTTTTAACGATTATCACTCGTCATTCAATGCGCAATACTTTCCCTTTTCTTTATTTTTTAAGAGAAGAAGAAAGGGGATCAGCAGCAAGATATTAATTGTTTGCTTAAATCATAAGTATGAAATCCTACTCTTTCTTTTTATTTTTGTTTTTTATTTTTTTTTGTTTTTATTTCAGGAAAATTCAATAGTTAATAAACAAAAAAAAATTTTTTTTTAATTTTTTAAGTTCAATATTTAAAAAATTTTTTCCATATTTGCAGCAGAGATGGGACTAGAGACGGACAAACGGCAAAATCAAATAAAATTTGATCAAATATTTGTTTGGTCCGATCTCTAGATGGGACGGATTCAGTAAAAAGTCAGGCCAGGTTTCGTGTTCGAGTGCCCCCAAGTTTCCTCTTATATGAGGTTTCCGGCTGAAAAAGGCATTGTTTGTCTTTCATTTTTTCCCAAATTTATATGCTACAATGTACGTCAAAAAAAGATTAAATGGGTCGTTTTGGCTTATAAAAATTAAATAACTAAATTCTTTCATTTCCTTATATTTTTACTTAATATATTATAATTGAGTTAATATTTTATTTAAATAAAAAATAGAAAGGCAGTTTAACTAAACCGTTTTAATAAAAATTTTTGGAGATGGGGGTTATAGCCAAACCCCTTTTAAAATACTGGCACAGTCTGATATATTTTTCTTAATTCAAGTCAAAGAATTAAATTTTACGTTAAAATTTTCTTGGATGAATCTAAATACAAATTTATTTCTTCTCTCAAAAATAAATATTGTTCGAATTTTGGTTAGATTGTTTCAGATATTTAAAAATTTTTTCATAAGTTTAGATATTTTTTAAAATAAATTATTTAAATCTTTAATTTACTTCAATCTTCATCAATCAATCATCCAAATCGGTCAATACATTTTAATCAAAAAATAATTTAAAAAACATGCCGATACTTTTCATTTTTTTTCTAAAATTCAGCTTTACTTTAGTGACTGCGTCCCATGTAATTTTAAGTGCCCCATGGGCCATCTGAGCAGCGTCCCATCTGAGTTTTGAGCGTCCCATAAGAGCATCTGTTAAACCAAAATCATGGAGGACATGTCTTCACTTAAATTACATAGCTCTAGCATTATTGCACTTTTACATATATGTACATTCATTGCAAAACACAATTTACACAATATATTATATTCCTTTAATTATTTCATTTAAATAAATTTATTTTAAATTTCATAATTTTTCTCTAATTTTTAGATAAATCCTTAAATTTTGTTTAGGATGAAGCTTGCTAGTTTTTTAATCGTTTTAATCTTCAATTGGATATTATGGACATTTGTTAAAACTATTCCAATTCGAAAAGGTTTAGCTAAACAAGTCGAAAAGGATCTCGTTGCAAATGAACTCGCTAAAATATTAAATGATGGGGCTGAATCTTCGGTCAATCCTCAAATTCAAAAATCTGAAGAAAATTTAACAAAAAAGGACATAGATGGAGAGAAAAAAGTGTTTAACAAAAGAGAATATCATCAAGAATATTACCAAAAAAATAAAGAAAAGTATCGTGAAAATTGTCGAAATTACTATGAAAAGAATAAAGAAAAAGTGCTTGAACGTAGACGAAATTACCGAGAAAAAAATAAGGAAAAGATAAAGGAATATAGCCGTAATTACTCTAAAATTCATAAAAATAAGCAGAAAAAAGATGGGAAAATTTACTACCAAAAAAATAGGGAGACGTTACTGGAAAAACAAAAAATATATAAAGAAAATAATAAAGAAAAGTGTAAAGAATACATGCGAAAATATTACCGAAAAAAGAAAAACGTGCAGTTTGACAATAATGAAGGAACTTCTAATGTTAATCCACAGACGGGTGATTTTGGGAATAAAGGCAAATTACCAATTGTTTGCGAGGAGGAAGGGAATTCTAGTCAAGGGGAGGACGAATGCAATAATTGTGAGGAAGAGCAAAATCATATTGAAGTAGAAGAGGCGAATATAATTATTGAAGACGGCACAAATAATGTAGATGCGAACAAGAAAATTCATTCTTTTGATCTGAACCAGATACATGAGCAAAATCAAATCGAGGAAGAAGAGCCAAATTATATTTTTGATAATGACACAATAGATTTAAATAAGAAAATTCATCCTTTTGATCTGAACGAGAAACATGAGGTTGAAGAATGAGAAGATTAAGAGAACGATATTGGATTTTTTGATTTTTGAATTTCGATATAAATATCAAGATTTTTTTGTTATTTTGAAAAAAATAGTTAAATTTTTAAAGTTTTTTTTGTCATCAGATTTTTGACCTAGGGCCGAATCAAAAATTGTACCTACAAACTGAAGAAATGTACCTACAAATGTATCTACAAACTAGAGATCGGAAATTTTGAAAAGCCTAGACCTATTCCTGGACTCTGGTACAGGAAAAACCCAGGCCTTGGTCCAGACCCGGGACGATCTCTACTACAAACTAAAAAAAGAAAAGGGAGGGTTGACGAGAAGCAAGATTTCGTAAATATCTCTCTCGTGAATATCGATCTTGATAACATAGATTTTTGTCCGAGATAGTGCTTTCGTCAAATCTCTATTTTTAATTTTTTTCTCAAAATAATTTATTTAAAAAAATTTTTTGCTGTTTTATTTCGACATTGTACTTTTATTTGAATGAATTTTATTTGTTTTGTGAAGATGGATGTGAGATTTTGTAATTTGTCTGTCAGATATTTCGACGTTCTACAATCGCCATTGCGAAACAAAGTTTTGTAAGTTAAATTGTTAATAAATAGAGAAATGGGATTTTATCAGAAGGAAATTAAATATACCGTATTATCTCTAATAGAATGCCTGGGCATTCTATTTTTCAATCACCTTCCAAAGGGGCATTCTATTGGAGGGGGGCATTCAAATGGAGGGGGCATTGTATTTTTCGATCTTCCGCTAGAGGGGCATTCTATTAGAGGGAGGCATTCAAATGGAGAGAGGCATTCTAATAGAGATAATACGGTACTCCACTTTGGGAGTAAATTATAAAATATTTTTGTATTTGACTAAATAAATTATTTAATTACAAAATATCATAATTTAAAAATTAAATAATTAAATAATAAATAATCAAAATGGAGAACTGTTCTTAATGATCTTCCAATTCTTCATCATCGGGAATCTTGTTCAGATCGAAAGAACAAATTTTCTTGTTTAATTCTTTATTATTTATGTCATCTTCGAGAATTTTATTTGTCTCTTCTACCTCGATTTGATTTTGCCCTTCTTTGTCGTTATTGCATTCTTCCACTTCTTTATCAAAAAGATTTCCTATCATCTCGCAAATTGGTAATTTACTCTTATTAGTAGAATCATCAATCTGTGGATTAACAAATGAAGTTCCTTCATTATTATCAGATTGAACGTTTTTCTTTTTTTGTCGGTATTTTCTCATGTATTCACTCTCCTTTTCTTTATTATTTTGGTAATAAATTTTTCTTTGATTCTTAAACTTTTCCTTATTTTTTTGGTAGTAAACTCGCTTAGAATGATTATTTTTTTCTTTATTCTTTATATTGTAGTTTCGCTTTTGCTCCTTTATCTTTTCTTTGTTTTGTTTTCGATAATTTCGACTTTTTTCAATCAATTTTTCTTTATTTTTCTGATAATATTCTTTAACATATTCACTTTTGTTAAGCACTTTGCCTTCTTTGATTTGAGGATTGACCGACGATTCAGCCCCATCGTTTAATATTTTATCAGTTGACTGGTAATCCTTTTCAACTTGTCTGGCTAAACTTTTTCGAATTGGAGCAGTTTTGACAAATGCCCATAATATCCAATAGAAGATTAAAATGATTAAAAAGCTAGTAAATTTCATCCTAAACAAATTTTAAAATTTAATTAAAAATCAACGGAAAATGATAAAATTTAATTTAAATAATAAATTGATATAGTCGATTTATAAAAGTGCAATAAAGCAAGCAGACAATTTACGAAAGGGTAATTTCACAAACTTATACTTTTTAAGTAGGAAAAACAAGTAAAATTCATTGAAAAGAAAGTGCATAATCAGAAAAACAAATTACTTAATAATTATTCAAAAACTCAAGACCCCTCAAATTTTTTATATTAAAAAATTCTGGATTTGGAATTTTAAGTTAATTTTGTTCATTTATTTCTATTACAAATGTAATTTTTTATTCTAAAATAAAATTTTACCAATGGAGACCCAATTGAACACAGCAATTTTAGGGCGCACTAATAGGTTGACACTTTATTGACAATGGAGGAAAAGCCACATTTTTTCCAGCAAAATTATATTTTTTTCATTTTCCTTCTTTATTTCCAATAATACGTTTTTGATTACCATTTTTACATTTTAGAAGATAATATATATTTAAAACCTCAAAATCAAATTTCACGATTATATTTTACAATATATAATAGATTTAGTTTTAATTTTTAAAATAACTGCATCACTAAGATTATTAGCAAAAATAAGATTATTAATAATATAAATTCATCTTTTAAATTATTTTTTCCTTCTCCCTCAATTAAAAATTTTAAAACGATATCAGAAAATTTCTTATTTGTACGTTCTATTGGCTTAGAATATATGCTAGATCGCATAGTATACTTTCCAAAATTATAAAAATTTTTGCCTGCGGCGCTGATTGGGTGAAGGTTACTAGCTTATTATTATAGATTAACACGCACAGGATGAATACGGGTGTAGAAGTTTCCAAAATTTAATCAGAATTTTTCCAAAATTTCAAAATTTAATTCTCAAATTTTTTCCTTAATTTAATCCAAACAAAAATATTTTCTTTTTTTTTAAAAATTTTTATTTTCTGGAGGAAATTTGTGTGTGAACAAAAAGTATATATTTTTTTAAATCTTTTATACTCCAATTAAAATCTATTTTTTTTCTTTTTCCTCCTTTATTTCCATCAGCTTCCACTAAATTTGCGTAGGCTTAAAATTAATTAATTGTTTTATTTACCTATTTTTTTTAACTTAAATTCCTTATTTTACTAAAAATCCTTTTTTTTAATTTATTACCCTAATTTTATTATTTTGCACTTTTCCTAACAACTGTTTTAAATTTTTATTATTTTTATTTTCTTCTTCTTCTTCTCTTTATTTTTTGTATTTTTTGTGTTTTTTTGTATTTTTATATTTTTTCCCTATATATTTAATTACCTATTTTCGGGCCGACAAACGTCGGCCCGCTACACGGGATTTTATCCAGTCACTTGGACGTTTGTGTAAGGAAATAGTTTGAAATTAATCAGCATCGTAGGGTTATTTTTGATCTGAAAGCAAGTTTTCTGATGAATCAACTCTTTCAGCATTTCTGTTGTTAAGAATGTGAAACCAGAGAGAGAAGCAGAACGAAGGCCAAATTACTTAATTCCCTTGTATCCATTAAATTAATTCTGATTTTATTGTACTCTGATCCCGATTTGCTCAATTTAGTTAAAACTAGTAAAAAAGGTTTAAAATAAAGCTTTTTATCCGAAATTTTAATTAATTTTAAGCTTTTAAAATATTGCCCTATTTTTTGCCTTATTTTTGCTCAATCTTGCCCTATTTTTGCCATATTTTTGAGTGGCTGCGCCCTATTTTAGTGGTTTGGAGATGGTCACCCTGTCGCATACAGATTGATGTAGTAATATTACATGAAAAAATATCCACTTCCACCCACTCAATATTAGAAATATTAATAACACAATAGATTTAAATAGGAAAATTCATCCTTTTGATTTGAACAAGATAGAGTATAAAGTTTTTCAATAAAAAGAATTAAGTGAATAAAGTGACAAAGAATGAAAGAAAAGCTAATCTTAAATATAACTGAGAGTAATCCATCTTTGACCCCCAACGGTCTTATGTTCTTTTTACTACCATTTTCTTTCATCTCTATTTATCTTTTTCTCATCTCTAGTTTATATGACTTCCACTTTCGATAAATATATTGGTGGATTTCATGAGAGCTGTTTTGAAAGTTCGGATATAATCTAGTCAAATATGATCTTATAGAAAAAAATTTTACAGAAAGAATCTTTCTGGATATTTCTTGATCATTTTAGATATTTTTTAATATTAATCATTTATTTCTTCAATTTACACTAACAATTTTATGTAAATTTTTTTTGTTATCCAGATTTTTGGCCTAGGATTGAATCAGTATTTAAGCCGATACAAGCAATATACCCTAAGAACTAGAGAAAGAAAAAGCAGAGTTGATGACATTGTAATTTCTGATTTAATTTGTTTTAAAAATTACGGTATATTTTGGATAATTTTTCAAGTATTAGTAAAAAAGATTTATGCTTGTTCATCGACTATAAACTAAGTTTTTTTTTTAATATAATCTTTATTTTAATTATAATCTTCCATTCTTTTTAATATTTTTATTCTTCATCCTCAGGTATCTCGTTCAGATCAAAAGAAAAATTCTTATTTACATCTTTATTCTTTATGATATATTCAAGAACTTTATTTGGCTCGTCTATCTCGATTTGAGTTTCCTCTTCTTCACCATTATTGCATTCTTCCACTTCTTGATCAAAAAGATTTCCTTCCATCTCGCAAACAATTGGTAATTTACCTTTATTAGTAAAATCATCAGTTTGTGAATTAACAAATGAAGTCCCTTCATTCTTATCAGATTGAACGTTTTTCTTTTTTTGTCGGTATTTTCTCATGTATTCACTCTCCTTTTCTTTATTATTTTGATAATAAATTTTTATTTGATGCTTTAACTTTTCCTTATTTTTTTGGTAGTAAATACTTGTAGCCTGACTGTATTTTTCTTTATTCCTTTTATAGTAATTTTGCAGATTCTCACATATCTTTTCTTTATTCTGTTCTCGGTATTTTCGAAAATATTCTTTATTCTTCTCATAGTAATTTCGATTTTTTTCAATTAACTTTTCTTTATTTTTTTGATAATATTCTTTATTATATTCTCCTTTGTTAAACACTTTGCCTTTTCCTTTATCTGTGTCCTTTTTTGCAATTTTTAATTTTGGTTTTAACGTTTTTTTATATTTTTGTATTTGAGGGTTGACAGAAGATTCAGCCCCGTCATTTAATATTTTATTAATATTATTTGCCGTGTAATCCTTTTCAGCTTTTCTAGCTAAACTTTTTCGAATTGGAGCCGTTTTAACAAATGTCCAGATTATCCAATTGAAGAATAAAACGGCTATGAAACTAGCAAATTTCATCCTAAAAAATTTAAAATTTATTTATAATAAATAAAATATTAATTTAAAATTTAAAATATAAAATGAAATATTGTGAGGAATATAAGGGCATTATTTAAATTGTTTTTTGAATTTGATGTACATGTTTATGATATCGTCAATGTATAAAAGGGCAATACCAGGCTCAAAACACGGTTACGAATTACGGTTACGAAAATATAGGAATAAAAACAAATTACGAAAATAAGAAATAAAAATCGCGAAAAAATATTGTTTCAAAAAACATCCCGTAGTTTGTCATTAAATTTTTGATGGAAAATAAAGAAATATTTCTCCCACCTTTACTTTTGTTTATCGGGGGTCGAGTGCCTAGAAGGCAGGCTTCGATCACCATGATATCGATAGATTAAGGGAATTAGGGAATATTGATGGATTTTAAGGATATCGGAAGATTTGGTGGCAGCAATGAGTCAAAGTCCTCAAAATTTTCGTTCACCTCTGAGGGATATAATGGAATTTAGACGGATATCTGGGAAATTATTGGAATTGAACGGATATCAGTCTTTATTTTTCCCTCCAAACAATCAAGAAATTTCGACTGGACAGTGAAAAGGGAACTATCTTCGATTTCGTTATTTTTGAAATTTATTCGACTGCCGATTTTAGAAGAATTTCAAAACAGCTCTGAGTGCAAATTATTATTGCACTTTATAATTTCAATTATTAATAAATATTTGATTTTTTAAATTAATTTAAATAATTTTCGACTTTCTATTCAGTTGGGTACGGGGTTTTTTTTTGCAAAATGACTTTGGGCCGAGTTATGAATATATAAACACATCTTATATATTATTAATTAATTATATTCAAAATTTAACTTAATAAAATAATTCAAAACTTGCTTTGTCTTTTAAATAAACTTGTTTTAAATGATAAGACATGTATTTTTAATTTTGATAAATCAACCTGAAAAGTTTCAGAGAAAATATAAGCTAAGACCGGGTCAAACTAAAATCAGAGTCGAATCCTTTAAAAAAATTTGACGGTTTTGAGTTTTGAAATAATTATTAAGTAATTTGTTTTATGATTATGCACTTTCCTTTCAACGAATTTTATTTGTTTTTTTAAACTTAAAAAGTACAAGGTTGGAAATTACCCTTTCATAATTTGCCTATCTGCTTTATTGCCCTTTTATACAAAGACGATATCATAAATACATCAAATTAAAAAAAATAATTTACATAGTCAACTTATTTTCCTCAGCAGTTTTCAATTTATAAATTTAAAACTTTGTTTAGGATGAAACCTGAAAGTTTTTTAATCTTTCTTATCTTCAATTTGATTATATGGACATTTGTCAAAACAACTCCAATTAAAAAAAGTTTAGCCAGACATGTTGAAAAAGATTACATGTCAAATGATGTTAATAAAACATTAAATGATGGGGCTGAATCGTCGGTCAATCCTCAAATTCAAAAATATAAAGAAACGTTAAAACCAAAATTAAAAATTACTAAAAAGGATACAGACAAAGGAAAAGGCAAAGTGTTTAACAAAGGAGAATTTAATAAAGAATATTTTCAGAAAAATGAAGAAAAGATAAATGAGAATCAGCGAAACTACGATATAACAAATACAGGAAAAAGGAGTCAATATATGAGTATTTACTACCAAAAAAATAAGGAAAAGTTGAAAGAAAACCAACGTAAATACTATCAAAAAAGGAAAAGCAATCAATCTGATAAGAATGAAGGAACTTCATTTGTTAATTCACAAACTGATCTTACTAATTTAGTTAATTTGTCAATTGTTTGCGAGGAGCAAGGAAATCTTTTAAATCAACGGGAGGAAGAAGGCAAAAATGGTGAAGAAAATCAAATCGATGTAGAAGATCCAAATAAGATTCATGGAGATGACATGATAGCTAGACAAGTTGAAAAGGATTACACGTCAAATGATGTTGATAAAACATTAAACGATGGGGCTTAATCGTCGGTCAATACTCAAATTCATAAATATAAAGAAACTTTAAAACCAAAATTGAAAATTACTAAAAATGATAAAGACAAAGGAGAAGGCAAAGTGTTTAACAGAATTAAATATAATAAAGAATATTTCCAAAAAAATAAAAAAAGGTTGACTGAAAACCAGCGAAAATACCGACAAAAAAAGAAAAATGATCAATCTGTTAATAATGAAGGAACTTCCTTTGTTAATCCACAGACTGACGATTTTACTAATTTAGTAGTTAAATTATCAATTGTTTGCGAGGAGAATTCTAAGGAAGGAAATCTATTAATTGAAGGAGAGGGAGAATTCAATAATGCTGTAAATGAGAAAAATCAAGACAAAGTAGAAGAGTCTAATAAGATCGATGAAGATAACACAAATCAAATAGCGGATTCAATTAAAAAAATGCATCCTTTTGAACTCAATGAGAAAACTAATGATAATGCCTGGGAATCCATTAAAAATAACGGGTTTTTCAGTTTATCCAACCCATTACATTCTATATTTAAGTTTCCATGATGTAAAACTTCGACAATACTACATATATTATTCATATATCTTTAAACTTTGTTTTCATTGTCTTTCCGATTCCTTATCTGAAACATATATTTTAATCAAATCACCGCGCTTCATGTATGACTATATAAGCACCTCTTACATTTTACTCAATACCTTACTTGTATTCAAAATTTAACGTAGTAATATTATTCCAAACTAACTTTGCCTTTTAAATAAACTTGTTTTAAATGAAAAGACTTGTATTTAGAATTTGGATAAATGATCTGAAAAGTTACAGCGAAAATCTAAGCGAAAACCGCGTCAGACTAAAATCAAATACTCAAAGCATTTAAAATATTTGACGGTTTTGAGTTTTGAAACAATTATTAAGTAATTTGTTTTTATTATTATGCACTTTCATTTCAATGAATTTTACTTGTTTTTTTAAACTTAAAAAGTACAAGGTTGAGAAATTACACTTTTTAATTTACCTGCCTGCTTTATTGCACTTTTATACATAGACGATTTAATAAATAGATCAAATACAAAAAATAAATTACATAATGCCCTTATTTCCCTCAGCGTTTTTCATTTTATATATTAATTTTTTAAATTAAATTCTGTTTACGTTAATTTTTAATTAAATTTTTAATTTTGTTTAGGATGAAATTTACTAGATTTTTACACTTTTTTATATTCAATTGGGTATTATGGACATTTGTCAAAACTGTTCCCATTCGAAAAAGTTTAGCCGGACAAGTTGAAAAGGATTACACGTCAAATGATGTTAATAAATCATTAAATGATGTGGCTGCATCGTCGGTCAATCCTCAAATTCAAAAATATAAAGAAACGTTAAAACCTAAATTAAAAATTACTAAAAAGGATACAGCCAAAGGAGAAGACAGGGTGTTTAAGAAAAGTGAATATGATAAAGAATATTATCGAAAAAATAAAGAAAGGTTGATTGAAAAAAGTCAAAATTACCGGAAACAAAATAAAGAAAAGATAATTGAGCGAAAGCGAAAATACAATATAAAGAACAAAGAAAAAATTAGTCAAACTACGAAAACTTACCGTCAAAAAAATAAGGAAAATTTAAAAAATCAAGCAAAAATTTATTACCAAAATAACAAAGAAAAATTGAATGAAAACAAGCGTAAATACCGACAAAAAAAGAAAAACGTTCAATCTGCTCATAATGAAGGAACTTCATTTGTTAATCCACAGACTAGTGATTTTACTAATTTAGTTATATTATCAATTGTTTGCGAGGAGGAAGTAAATCTTTTAAATCAAGAAAAGGAAGTATGCAATAATGGAGAAGAAAATCAAATCAAGGTAGAGGAGCCAAGAAAAATTCATGATGATGATACAAATCAAGTAGATTCGAATAAGAAAATTCTTCCTTTTGATCTGAACGGGGAACCTGAGGATGGAAATTGCGAAGTTCTTGGAAATGGCATAAATAAAGTAGATTCAAATGAGAGAAATTATCTTTTTGATTTGAACGATAAACCTGAGAACGAAGAAGTGGAAGATTATTAAGATATTGGATTTCATATTGGAAAAATGGCTCACTCCGTTTTGTCGCTTGATTTTATATGTATTTTTTAAATAAATAAATAAAATTAAATGATTTTATCTTTTTTGATGGTTTTATACAGATTGTGTATTATATAAAAAAATTTTTAAAAAATATTTAATGAAATATGCAAGTCTTTTAACTTAAAAAGAATAGCGAGACCGCGAGCATTAACACACCCGAGAACCTGAACATAGTCAAATATTCAAGAAAATCGTGAATTCGAAATACTTGGGAATTCACGATTCCCGAAAAATTTGAATTCCCGGTTCGACGACCTTTCCAATCCTGCCCGAAAAGATGTTAAAAGTCTATCATTAAAGAGAACAAGTTAATATTCATTGAAAGTAAACTATATGTGTAATATTTTTAATATATTTTAAAATATTTTTTATGGTTCTTTTTAATAATCTCCCATTTCTTCATCCTCAGGTTTCTCGTTCAGATCAAAAGAATGAATTTTCTTATTCGAATCTATTGTGATATCTTTAAGAATTTTATTTGGCTCTTCTATCTCGATTTGATTTTGCCCATCTTCCCCATTATAGCATTTTTCCTCTCCTTGATTTAAACGATTTCCTTCCTCCTCGCAAACAATAGATAATTTAACTAAATTAGTAAAATCACTAGTTTGTGGATTAACAGATGAAGTTCCTTCATTATTATCAGATTGAACGTTTTTCTTATTTTGTCGCCATTTTCGCCTGTATTCATTCAACTTTTCTTTGTTATTTTGGTAATATATTCTCCTCTTTTTATTCATACTTTCATTATTATTTTCACGGTAAAATTTCATGTATTTATTCCTTTCTTTATTTATATGTTCCTTGTTAATTTTTTTGTAATTTCGATGATATTCAGACAATCTTTGTCTATTTTTTTGACGGTACGTTTTCATATATTTACTTTTGTTAGGCACTTTGTTTTCTCCTTTATCTGTGTCCTTTTTCTTATTTTCTAATTTTGTTTTCAACGTTTCCTTATATTTTTGGATTTGAGTGTCAGCAGACGATTCAGCCCCATCATTTAATATTTTAGTCAGATCCTTTGCCGTATAATCCTCTTCAGAATGACTAGATAAATCTTTTCGAGTTGGAGTAGTTTTAACAGATGTCCATAACATCCAATTAAAGATTAAAACGGTTAAGAAACTTGAAAGTTTCATCCTAAACAAATTTTAATTTATTTAAATTAAAGAAAAATAGGTACAATTTGCTTAAAAAGATGTACTTTTTAGAAGATATTCACAAGAAAGGAGAGGAAAATTATTAAGCAAAGTTCGAAAAATAATAAAATTTAATTAAAAATTGAATTTATATAAATAAGCATATGTATGTGAAGTATATGCATAAGTACAATGTCTAATTATTTTGTATTTGATGTATAAAAGGTCAATAAGGCAAGAGTTTGGAAATATTAGACAAACAAATTAAGAAATCTCAAAGTGCAATCATTTTTAAACTCATACTTCCTGTGTACCGATAGTTCCGATATTTATTCTATTAGTAAATATCCTATAAATAGTAGGTTTCTGAGTGTTTAAAAAATTTTCGGTTTTACCTGACTTTATGAGTCCAATCAAAAAATTCGATTATCTTGTTGTTGTAAAATTGGGGTATGGTTCCAGATCATTTTTTATGTTGGAGTCCGGTAATTCTGAAGATTGTCCTACACCCAATGGGTCTGGGACTATTACTTAGCCAATTTTTATAATTTCGCCAATTTTTAAATAGCCAATTTTAAAGCCAATTTTTAGCCAATTTTTAAAATTTCGGAAAAAAATTATAGCTTTCCGATATCCAAAAATTCTACAAAAATTCCTGTGTGCCTTCTTGATCGAGATCTCAAACCCCCAAAAATTCTACTCGATATCGATGGAAATGTTTACAGGAATTTTTGTAGAACTTTTGGATAACTTACACTAAAAAATTGGAATCTTGCACGTATAATTATGAAACAACCCAAATTTTAAAAAAATTCATAAAAAATTTATATTTAGTTAAAAATTTTTTGAAACTCACAGAATACTAATGTTTATAGAATTCTACAAATAAAAAAAAATTAGAGCTCAATCGGTACACAGGAAGTATGAGTATGGGAAGGATATGTATAAGGACATCATTTAATTATTATGTATTTGATGTATAAAAGGTCAATAAGGCAAGAGGCGTTTGGAAATATTAGACAAACAAATTAAGAAATCTCAAAGTGCAATCATTCTTAAATTTCTCTAAACATAAAAACAAGTAAAATTCATTGAAAGGAAAGTGCGCAGACAAAAAACTTTTTAAAAATATATAATTATTTTCAAGGTTAGTTTGGGGGAACCTGGTTGAGTATGGTCTTCTATTCACAAAAAAATATATGAATAAGTTAATCTATCGCGAATAGGGGCAGTGGTACAAAAGTTGCGGTTGGTTCCAATTGCACAAGCTAGTAACTCACGGCATAAGTCATAAACACAAATGAAGGCTTATACAAAACCTATAATCAAACAAACAAATACCCAAAAAGCACAGCAACAAACAAAAGTAAACTAACCCAGACACAACTAACATTTTTAATAATGATTGAAAATTGACAAACTTCCAGTTAAAATTGAAAATTGACCGAGGTTAATGATGATCAGGTCGGTTAGAAAATTCAGTATATCGATTAAAAAAATTACAAAAACCCATTGTATTATTAAGATTAAAACCCATTATCTAGGTTTAAAAGCTTTCAAAAAATTGGAAATTTATCATTATATATTAAAAAATAAATAATCGGTCGAAAGAATGTTTATTATGAATAAATTAATTTTAGGAAAATGAAAGAAAAAAGAATTTATGATATTTCATTATTGTGACTTGGACTTGGACTAACTCTTTTTATTAATCTTCCCCATTTACATCTTCAGGTTCCACGTTCAGATCAAAAGGAAGTATTTTCTTATTTAAATCTATTGTGTTATCTTCAAGAATTTTATTCAGCTCTTCAACCTCGATTTGATTTTGCTCATCTTCGCCATTATTGCATTCTTCCTCTCCATGATTTAAAAGATTGCCTTCCTCCTCCCAAACAATTGGTAATTTACCTTTATTAGTAAAGTCACCAGTCTGTGGATTAACAGATGAAGTCCCTTCATTATTATCAGATTGAACGTTTTTCTTATTTTGTCGGTATTTTCTCATGTATTCATTCAATTTTTCTCTGTTATTCTGGTTATAAATTTTATTGTTTTTCTGTATCCTTTCTTTATTTTTTTGGCGGTAAACTTTCATATATTGTCTTTTTTCTTCCTTATTATTATTCCTTTTATAGTAATTTCCTTTATTCCTTTTATAGTAATTTCGATAATATTCAGCCAAACTTTCTTTGTTTTTCTGATAATATTCTTTATTATATTCATTTTTGTTAAACACCTTGTTTCCTCCTCTATCTGTGACCGCTTTCTTATTTTTTAATTTTGTTTTCAACGTTTCTTTGTATTTTTGAATTTGAGTGTCGGCAGACGATTCAGCCCCATCATTCAATAGTTTCGAATGATCCTTTGTCGCGTAATCCTTTTCAACATGTTTAGCTAAATCTTTTCGAGTTGGAGTAGTTTTAACAATTGCCCATAATATCGCAATGAATATTAAAGCGGTTAAGAAACTAGAAAGTTTCATCCTATACAAATTTTAAAACTTTTTAAATTAAAAAAAATAAGTAAAATTTGGCTTAAAAGATGTACTTTTTAGAAGATATTCAAAAGAAAGGAGAGGAAAATTATTAAACAAAGTGTACCAAAAATAATAAAATTTAAATAAAAATTGAATTTATAAATATAAATAGGCATGGGGGAATTTATATAAATAAACATATGTGAAGGGTATGTATAAGTACAATGTCTAATTATTTTGTATTTGATGTATAAAAGGGCAATAAGGCAAGAGTTTGGAAATATTAGACAAACAAATTAAGAAATCTCAAAGTGCAATCATTTTTAAATTTCTAAACATAAAAACAAGTAAAATTCATTGAAAGGAAAGTGCGAGACGGAAAAAACTTTTTAAAAGTATAATTAAAATTATTTTTAATGTTAGATAAATATTAGGTTTCTATAAATATTAAAATTCTGAGAGTTTCAAAAATTTTTCAACTAAATGTAAATTTTTTATGATTTTTTTCAAAATTTGGGGTGTTTGATAATTATACAAGCAAGATTTCAATTTATTTCTTTACTATAGGTGATCCAAAAATTCTAGTAAAAATTCCTAGGAACATTTCCAGCGATATTGAGTAGAAATTAAAAAGAACGAGTCCATAAATGCCTTCTTCATTGAGATTTCAAACCCCCAAAATCAACGGAAAACGGGGATCACAGTACTTCACTCAGAATCCTAATATTAATAGAATACCTACTAATGGAAAAATTAGGGCTCAATCGGTACACAGGAAGTATTAGTAATGCCAGACAAATGCTTGCTCGTATAATTAAGAAACAAACTTTATTAGACAAACAAATTAAGAAATCTCAAAGTGCAATCATTTTTAAATTTCAAAAATAAAAACAAGTAAAATTCATTGAAAGGAAAGTGCACAGACGGAAAAAACCTTTTTAAAATTATGTATAATTGTAATTTATTTTCAAGGTTAGGTTGGAGGAAATCCTTAAATATTCTTTGGTTGGCGGTGTCAGTGAGTACCAGATATTGACGGTAAAATTGAAAACTGACCGAGGTTAAAATTTGACGCCGACACATTTATTACGTGTATAGGTTAAAAATCCCATTTTTACATCTGTGAAGGTAACGGATGTAACTTTAAAAGCTTTCAATAAATTGGAATTTTATCATTAGTTATTAAAAAATAAATTTCTGTTGAATAAAAGTTTAGTATAAATTATTTATATGAAAATGAAAGAAGAGTGAATCTCATATTTTTCGTTATTAGGACTTGGACTGGAACACTTTTTATTAATCTTCCCATCATTCATTATCAGGTTCCTCGTTAAGATCAAAAGGAAGCGTTTTCTTAATTGAATACATGTGATTTGTTTCCATGTGATTTGATTCATCATCAAAAACTTCGTCCTCCCGTTGATTCAAAAGATTTCCTTGCTCCTCGCAAACAATTGACAAATTAACCAAATTAGTAAGATCACCAGTCTGTGGATTAACAAATGAAGTCCCTTCATTATTATCAGATTGAACGTTTTTCTTTTCTTGTCGGTATTTTCTCATGTATTCGTTAATCTTCTCCCTGTTATTTCTGTTATACATTTTCTTGTATTTCTGTATCTTTTCCTTGTTTTTTTTGACGATAAACTTTATTTTTACTTTCTAACCTTACTTTATTCCTTTTATAGTAATTTCGCTTGTTTTCACAAATCCTTTCTTTATTTTCTTGGTAATATTTCTTAAAATATTCACTTTTCTTAGAAGATTTGCCCACATCATTATTCATATCTTTGTCATTTTTTGTTAAAGTTTCTTTAAATTTTTGAATTTGAGGATTGACCGATGATTCATCCCCATCATTTAATGTTTTATTAACATCATTTGACGTGGAATCATTTTCATCATGTCTAGCTAAAGCTTTTCGAGTAGGAACGGTTGTAACAAACGTCAATAATATCTCATTGAAGATAAAAACGATTAATAAACTAGCAAGTTTCATCCTAAACAATTTTTTAAATATTAAAAATTATTAAGCAACGTCTATGAAAAATAATAAAATTTAAAAAATGAATTTATGTAAATAAACATATGTGAAGGGTATGTATAAGTACATCGTATAATTATTTTGTATTTGATGTATAAAAGGGCAATAAGGCAAGAGTTTGGAAATACATTATTAGACAAACAAATTAAAAAATCTCAAAGTGCAATCATTCTTAAATTTCTAAACATAAAAACAAGTAAATTCATTGAAAGGAAAGTGCGCGACGGAAAAAAACTTTTTATAAGTATAATTATAAAAAATTTTCAAGGCTAGGTTGGGTGACTTAAATATTCTTCTAAGAACAGAGTTGTCGCGGACCGGAAGTATGCGACGTAAATTCTGGCATCTTGCCGCCGGAGATAAGAGACAGGAGAATTCGAACTCCCAAAATTTAGGAACCTCTTAATTCCTCTTAATTTCCTTACTATAAGCAAATTAAAAACAATTTACGAAAAATAATATATTTTAAATTAAATATAAAACAAAAAATATAAATTTTAAATTACATAAAATTAATTTATTTTATGGGATATTAAAAAGGGTGAGAAAAGGAACGAAAATTTACTTTTTCTTCCAATATTGTTGAATTTCAAATTATGAAGAAGGAGGTGTTGAAAAAGCCAAGCCACCAGACAAACAAAAGAAAAAAATAGAGTCATTCGCTTTAAAATGCGGGAACTGTGGCGGTGTGTCCGCGACATAGTTGCGGAAGAATTTTTGAGTATTATTGAATGAATTTTGAATTTTTTCTGCTGAAATGAACTAGAAAGGCTTCAATAAATTTTAGCTAGATACCGGAGAATGGAATACATTCCATATTTCAATAAAAACCCGGACTCATTCATTATAATCAAACTGATCGCTTCTTTTTGTCTGTATATTTTTGAAGATTATGATTATTTTTTCGATTTTCTGTACTTTTATAATCTTTCAAATGATTGGAAATTTTTAATTATATATTAAAACATAATATTCGGTGTAACAATTGTTTAGTATTAATAAATTATTTTTTATTAAAATAATAGAGCAAATCTTATGATTTTTAGTTATTTGGACTTGGACTGGAACTTTTTATTAATCTTCCTCATTTCCATCCTCAGGTTCCTCGTTCAAATCAAAAGGAAGAATTTTCTTTATTGAATCCATGTGATTTGTAGTTGTATCATCCTCAAGAATTTTTCTTGGCTCTTCTAACTCATCTTGATTTTGCTCATTTTTGTCATTATTGCGTTCTTGCACTTCTTGATTAAAAAGATTTCCTCCTTCCTCACAAACAATTTGTAATTTACCTTTACCAATAAAATCACCAGTCTTTGGATTAACAAATGTGTCGCGACTATCTAGTCAGCGATAGGAAAGAAAAGTAAAGAACCAGGAAATGGGCAGCGGCTGGAAATAACAAAAACAGCAAAATTTGCAGCAGCCGATGGGTGGTTGGATGGCTGAACGGATTAGGCCGCAGTTTGGAGAGAAGGGGCCCTGGATCGAAGGACAGCAGTCCAACCCAATTTTTCATAGGTGGCACCGTTTGAAGCTAGCGATAAAGTGAACCAGCAATCAACAGTCTTTCTTCGGTGGCAGGGCATCAACTGATGTGAAAATAGCGTAAGGATACAATAGGCAACAGGAGGCGATGTGACTAATCTAGCCACTGTCTGCTCAGGGCTTGGACAACCTAGAAGAAAGCACCGCAGCAGCCAATATCAGATGACTACTATAGCCACTGTCTGCTCAGGGCTTGGACAACCTATGGGAAAGTGTGTGCGGAGGCAGCCGTTCTCCTATCTGTTCACCGAGCAGATTCTAAATGCTTCCTGTAGCAATTTAGACCGCTATGAATTAACAAATAAGGTTGAAAGCAACAGCCAAAGAAAAACTTTAAAAGTTGGTGGGAGTGTCGCGACTATCTAGTCAGCGATAGGAAAGAAAAGTAAAGAACCAGGAAATGGGCAGCGGCTGGAAATAACAAAAACAGCAAAATTTGCAGCAGCCGATGGGTGGTTGGATGGCTGAACGGATTAGGCCGCAGTTTGGAGAGAAGGGGCCCTGGATCGAAGGACAGCAGTCCAACCCAATTTTTCATAGGTGGCACCGTTTGAAGCTAGCGATAAAGTGAACCAGCAATCAACAGTCTTTCTTCGGTGGCAGGGCATCAACTGATGTGAAAATAGCGTAAGGATACAATAGGCAACAGGAGGCGATGTGACTAATCTAGCCACTGTCTGCTCAGGGCTTGGACAACCTAGAAGAAAGCACCGCAGCAGCCAATATCAGATGACTACTATAGCCACTGTCTGCTCAGGGCTTGGACAACCTATGGGAAAGTGTGTGCGGAGGCAGCCGTTCTCCTATCTGTTCACCGAGCAGATTCTAAATGCTTCCTGTAGCAATTTAGACCGCTATGAATTAACAAATAAGGTTGAAAGCAACAGCCAAAGAAAAACTTTAAAAGTTGGTGGGAGTGTCGCGACTATCTAGTCAGCGATAGGAAAGAAAAGTAAAGAACCAGGAAATGGGCAGCGGCTGGAAATAACAAAAACAGCAAAATTTGCAGCAGCCGATGGGTGGTTGGATGGCTGAACGGATTAGGCCGCAGTTTGGAGAGAAGGGGCCCTGGATCGAAGGACAGCAGTCCAACCCAATTTTTCATAAATGAGGTTCCTTCATTATTTTCAGATTGAGCGTTTTTCTTTTTTTGTCGGTATTTTTGCTTGTATTCATTCAATTTTTTTCTGTTATTTTGTTGATATATTTTCTTGTTTTTCTTTATTTTTTCTTTATTCCTTTCATAGAAATTTCGTTGATTCTCATTTACCTTTTCTTTATTTTGTTTTTGGTACTTTCGATGATATTCCTTATTTTTTTGATAATATTCTTTATTATAATCACTTCTGTTAACCTTTTTGTCTTTCACACTGTTTCTGTCACTTTTTGTATTTTTTAATTTTGGTTTTAACGTTTCTTTATATTTTTGAACTTGTGGATTGACCGACGATCCAGCCCCATCATTTAATATTTCAGTTGATGTGAAATCCTTTTCAACATGGCTAGCTAATTTCCGAGTAGGAACAGTTGTAACATTAATCCACAATATTACATTAAGGATTGAAACGAGTAAAATTCTAACAAGCTTCATTCTAAACAAATTTATATATTTAAAAATTAGTGTAAAATATTAAAATTTAAATAAAACTTTGAGGATTGACCGGCGATTTCAAAGGGAAATTATAAATAAAAATTTGGGAAATATAAAAACATAGTTAAAAATAATTTTATAAAAGGGCAATAAGGCTAGAGAGTCTAAATAATGAAAATATATAAATGCTAAAGTATGAAAATTAATAATCTCAAAGGGCAATCACACAACCATTTTTTACATTTAAAAATATAAAAACAAGTAAAATTCATTGAAAGGAAAGACGCAGACGGAAAAACAAATTACTTAATAATTAAGCAATAATAAAAAAGAATATTTGAATTGTAACAGGCTTCTCCAATTTTCTAATTTTCAAAATAAATTACAGCAAATAATATTCAAAAAATTATACTAATAAATTACATTAAATTCAGCATTGAAATAGGTATTATATTAAACAAATAATTTTTATTTGTTTTCAATTAATTGACCTTAAAATGATTAATTTGTCATCAATTAATTGGTGTCGAGGCTCGCCTAGACATAAATTCTAATTTGTTTCTAATTATTTTAATTAATAGGATCTCAATATGTTCACGAGCCCCGAGCGACCAAATACTCGATTCCAGAGGAAAGATGACCCAAATTTCAAATACTAAAAATTCCAATTACCATAATTTATTTTTATTTTCGCTTTAAGTATTTTCAATCAATATTAATGTTAATAGAAATCCTTAGACTTTGTTCCTTTTCTCCTTCTCCTTTTGTTTGTAAAATGTTTTGAGAAAGAAGCGGTGTAATAAACATTAAAAGGATCGGGGAGAGAGCACCCGATCGGGGAGTGAGCACCGCTCGAGGTGAAAGGTTGCGTTTAGTCCCCTTATTACACCGCTAGGTAAATTTTTAATTCCATCAACAAAAAAGTGAACGAAAAAAGGGAATAATAAAAAGGATCTCTTCAACATTAATATGACTCATAAATTCTTTTCGCTTTAAAAAATAATTTTTTGACTTAAACATTTTCATTAATAAATAATTTATTTATTTCATTAATTTAAATAGTTTCACTCAAGCTGGTGACGCCCAGCCAAAAAATATCGGAAAAATACATTTCAGTTTAGCCTTAAAATTTTCTTTGCTTAGGATTAATATTTTTGGTGAATTTGCAATTGGTCGAAATTGGTCGGAGAACTAATCTATAACGGGTAGGGGACGATTCGGTATCGCCGATTCAGTATCGCCAATTCAGTATCGCCGATTCAGTATTGGCCGATTCAGTATTTGGGCTTTTTGGCCATAACTTTTTGCTCGATCAATATTGTAAGAATTATTATATATGATTTGATAGGTCTCGGGGTGTCTCATCTTTTTCATAATTGGACTGACATGATCTGATCATTCTATAAAAAGTTATCACTGATAAACGACGTCACAGGCATAAAAAATCGGTTTTCGCGCTGTAACTTTTTTGTGATCATCAGATCTGATCGGGCCAATTATGAAAAAGATGTCGAATCTCGAGACCTTTCGATTGATATGAGAATTATTCAAATCGGTCGAATTTCAGGAAAGTTATAGCCATATACCGAATCGGCGGATACTGAATCGGCGATACTGAATCGGCTATACTGAATCGGCGATACTGAATCGTCCTTAACCGTCTATAACTACTACAACAACCACCATTTTAGAACTTCGACAAATGGTATAAAACAATCAATGGTACTATCCTATTTGCTTTTTTCAAAAAATACTCATGGTTCAAAATGAGTCAATGCCGGGATTTGCTAGCTTCAGTAATATAACTCATATAATTTCCTAGAACTCATATGATCTAACCGATAATAATGAAATTTCTGATTTCGGGAAATCGAGTTAGCTATATAAAAAATTTCTAAAGAGATTTGAGATATCTGAGAGAATTAAAAGAATTCAAGCTCCAGAAAAGAGAGACCATGTAATCAAAAGAGTACTACTTCTATTTGTTCTATATTCCTACATAATCTTATGAAATAGATGTCTCTTGAACTGTGAGTCATATACTCACCATAGTGCCAATTCTAAATTCCTCTCCTTCATCTGTTGCAACTCAATCCCTTTGCCTACACATTGAACATTGATCTTAGATAAACTGTTAATCTGTTGCTCGTCTACATTCATGCACCCTCGGACATAACAAAACGATAAATTATTTTATAATAAACAAAAAATATATTTAATTTATAATAATATGGAATTGTATGGATTAACTGAATAAAACGAAAAAAGCCGTTTTTTTCGTTTTTTAATAATCTTCTTATTCTTCGCCCTCAGGTTTCTCGTTCAGATCAAAAGGATGAATTATCTTATTTAAATCTATTTGCGTTGTATCATCTTCGTGAATTTTATTCGGCTCTTCAACCTCGATTTGAATTTGTTCATCTTTGTTATTATTGCATTCTTCCTCCTCTTGATTAACAAGATTTCCTTCCTCCTCGCAAACAATTGCTAATTTAACTAAATTAGTAAAATCACAAGTCTGTTGATTAACAAATGAAGTTCCTTCATTATTTTCAGATTGAACGTTTTTCTTATTTTGTCGGTATTTTCGCTGGTATTCATTCAACTTTTCTTTATTATTATTTTTATATATTTTTTGATTGTTTCTGATAATTTCCTTATTCTTTTGATAGTAATTTCTATTGATTCCAAGCAACCTTTCTTTATTTTTTTGATAATATTCTTTCCTACGACTCTTATTTCCTTCATAGTAATTTCTGTGTTTCTCATATAGTTTTTCTTTATTTTGTTTTTGGTAATTTCGAATATTTGCAAGCAACTTTCCTTTATTTTTTTGGTAATATTCTTTATTATATTCATTTTTGTTAAACCCTTTCTTTCCTCTTCTTTCTTTGTCCTCTGTAATTTTTAATTTTGGTTCTAACGTTTCTTTATATTTTCGAATTCGAGGATTGACCGAAGATTCAGCCCCATCATGTGCCGAGTAATCCTTTTCAGTAAGTCGCGCTAAATTTTTTTGAGTTGGAGTCGTTTAAATAGATGTCCATAATACCAAATTGAAGATTATGGCGACTAAGAACTAGAAAGTTTCATCCTAAACAAATTTTATCATTTATTTAAAAAATTTATTTATTAATAATGGGTTGTTAGATAAATAATGATCCCTTTGCGCATGAGCCCTCGTTTGAAGCAATACAAAATAACAGTCCGAATTTCAAATTTTGAGGACATAATTTTAAAAAATTTTTAAAAAATTGCAAAAATCAAAATTTATCTTTTAGATGGTTTAGAATGATAGAAAAAAGCGTGAACTATCGACTCTAGTAGATGTAAAATAATTTTAACTAAAATTCGAATACCTATACATAAAAAAAGACTAAAAATACGAAAAGGGCTCATTATTTATCTAACAACCCATTAAATAAAATAAATAAAAATTACTCAAAAATTATAAATTTTAATTTAAATAAATTAAAATTCGAGAAGGACTTATGTAATCGTGTAAATTTAAAAGGGCAATATAGCTAGAGTCTATATGTAAGACAGAAAATTATGAAATCACAATGGACAATCTATGTGAAATATAAAAATAAGTAAAATTCATTGAAAGTAAAGTGAGATATAGAAAACAAGGTAATTAATAAACAAATAAAAATAGTAAATGTCTGAATAAATTGTTGTGTGAGAAATTTTAAAGGCAAAATTAAATTAGTCAGTCTGCTCACAATTCTAACTGGGGTTCTACATGTCTAATGTAAACATACATATAAAGAGTTTATTTAGATTTATGTCACTTAAATCTCGTTATTTCGTGGCGGATATAACGAGACTAATAACTAATATTTGAGAACTAACTAGGATTTTATTATTTTAAAGCATTTAAATGTAGTAGGCGTATTTATGAAAAAGCATAATTAAAAAGGAAATTTAAAAATATAAATTATTTTTGACTAAGAAGCAAGAAAAAAAGTTAAAATTATAGTCGACTTCTTGACACTGTGACTATGCTTCGATAAGTGAACTCTCCCAACGATTAAATTGTAACTGTTAAATTGGACAAATTTGAGATCAGTATCAGAACTTTGATCAGAATAAAAAATCAGAACAAAAGTGAGATTGGTATCGAACTAATATCATAATATAAAATCGAACAAGATTGGTTTTTATGTGTAGGCAAGAAGCTAAAGAACATTTTTCCGAATTGACTCGCAAAAAAATAGTAGAAATATGGCCTCCGAAATAATTTCCAAACATTGTCATATTTTTGCTTTTATATTTTTCTATAAACGAATTAATTAATATGTAGTTCTCTATGTATTTTTATTGACCATTTTAAACTTTATAAGAGAGGAAGAAAAAAAAGAAATAATGGGGGTTTATTAATATTTACATTTCTCATCGTTATAAAAGCAGAAATACGAAGGAAAAGAAAAAAAGGTGCGGATAACCGTTTGCGGACGTGGAGGGATATAATTGCATAGTACCATAAAAAGTATTATAGTATATTATAAAATTAAAACCAACAAGTTCACTAAGGATTATAGTCTCTCTATAAATTGAGCATAAATATCATTAATAAAATACATACTAAAATGTGTATAAGATGCAACAGGGAAAATCTTAAAAATCCGAATTTGGAATAAAAGAAAATTAAATATACCACCTTTATCGTATATTAAAAGACAATTTTGTCTCTAACTAAATTACTTATTTAATGTTAGATAATAGAAAATTGAAAAATGGGAACTGTTCTCAATGATCCTCCAGTTCTTCATCCTCAGGCATCT